GGGGCATCTGGGTTGGTTCCGTATCTTAGCTACAGTGAATAATGCTGCGATAAACATAGTTGTGCTGATAGCTTTAATACGGCCTTGTTTTTTTTGTTTGTTTTTTGTTTTTTTTTTTGTCTGAACTCTGGGCCTGGGCACTGTCCCTCAGCTCTTCAGCTCAAGGCTAGCGCTCTACCACTTGAGCCACAGCGCCACTTCCGGCTTTTTTTCTTATGTGGTGCTGAGGAATCGAACCCAGGGCCTTGAGCATGCAAGGCAAGTGCTCTACCTTCCCAGCCCCATATGGCCTTGTTTGTGATCATTTGGGTAAATGCCTAAAAGTGAGATTGCTGGGTCATAGGGGAGCTCTATGTGGAGTCTTTTGAGGAACCTCCATACTTCTTTCCAAAGTGGCTGTACAAGTTTACACTCCCAAAAACAATACAGAAGTGTTCCCTTTTTGCCAAATCAAAAGAATAAGAATAAAAATAAAAATAAAGTGATCTGAATTCCAATCAAAAAAAATATTAAGGCTACATAAAGGAGAGACTAGGGAGTATTTAAGGGCACAGACAAGAATAAAAATAAAGATTATAAAGTTGGAATAATTATGCCTAAGGGCCTAAGCTTAATTACATTTTTGTTTTCTTTACTTTGATTCAGACTGTGTCTATGAAAAAATACCTTCATGAACTGCAAACTTCCTTTGTTGTTTAAGTACTTACAAATATCTCCTGTTAACATTTATATACTAGAAAAATATTACTGTACTACAAAATATGTATTTTATATTTTACTTAAAAGTATTAGGTATTAGCAATATTGCCTAAAAATTATTTATAGAGTAGCAAACAAAATTTAACTTGTAATACACCAATAATTTAAGTGAATTATAATAAAAATGCAAAAATCAAAGGCAAGTTTAAATCTGGAAAATTTGGTCAAGGAATGGCTTAGCGGTAACTACGTAGCATGCATGAGGCCCTATGTTCTATTCCTTGGTAGCACATAAACACAAAAAATAAATAACTTTTTTTAAGTCTGGAAAATTCAGGCTGGGAATGTGGCTTAGTGGTAGAGTACTTGCCTAGCATGTATGAAGTCCTGGGTTTGATTCCTTAGTACTACATAAACAGAAAAAGCCAGAAGTGGTGCGGTGGCTCAAGTGGTAGACTACCAGTCTTGAGCAAAAGCTCAGAGACAGTGCCCAGGCCCTGAATTCAAGTCCCAGGACTGGTTAAAAAAAAAAATCTTGGGGCTGGGAAGGTGGCTCAGTGGTAGAGCGCTTGCTTTGCATGCCTGAGGCCCTGGGTTCGATTCCTCAGCACCACATAAGCAAAAAGAAAAAAGCTGGAAGTGGCGCTGTGACTCAAGTGGTAGAGTGCTAGTCTTGAGCTGAAGAGCTGAGAGACAGCGCCCAGACCCAGAGTTCAGGCCCCACGACTGGACCCAAAAAAAAAAAAAAAACCTGGAAAATTCATTTATCTAAAAGTCAAGTATCAAAGGAAAATATTTTCAGAGGGGAGAAACACAAAGGTGCAATGCCCATGGGCATCTAATCTTATAAAATAACATTTATCATTTTTTTTAAAAAGACAAAGTGATAATTTACTAACAGAAATGATCTTGCATTTTAAAATTACATATTGTCTAGGAAATTTAAAAGAAAAGCAAAATTTGTGAAGAGCTACAGACACAAAAACCTACCTAGATTAAAGCTTGTAATAGTTAATGGGCCACAGTAAAAGGCAACAGATGTAGGTCTGTAATATGTTATCTACATTGGTATACTTGTTGATAAGCCCATATTAAACACCTATTTCGTAGTAGATATTACTATTTTGTCCCTTTTTTGTTGAAATATTTTTAAAAGGGGAAAACATCTTTTAACTAGATTTCTGAATCTGCAATAAACTGTACAAACAAGCACACAAACACTTTCAAAGACACAAGATTCTACATAATCCATTTTAACTAAAAAAAAAAAAACAACAACAAACAATTACTCAGGAAGCTGGGATCTGAGGATCGCAGTTCAAAGCCAGCCCAGGCAGGAATGACCGTAAGACTCTTATCTCCAATTAACCACCAGAAAACTGGAAGTGGTGCTGTGGCTCAAGCGTTCACCTTGAGCTAAAGAGCTCAGGGATAGAGCCCAGGCCCAGAGATCAAGACCCACGACCAAGAAACAAAAAAACCTGTTCATAATGCTAGCAACTGGTGGCTCAGGCTTATCTATATTGCTAGCTAACCAGGACAATCATGTTTTGAAGCTAGTCCATGCAGACAAATTCAAAAGATTCTCATCTCAAATTAATGAACAAGACACTGGAACTGGAAGTATGGCTAATGTGGTAGAGTGATTTTTTTCAGTGACAGAGAAAAATAAAAGCAAGAGCAGAAGGACCTGAGCTCAAGCCCCAGTAATGTCCAAAAACAGAAAGAAAGAAAGAAAGAAAGAAAGAAAGAAAGAAAGAAAGAAAGAAAGAAAGAAAGAAAGAAAGAAAGAAAGAAAGAAAGAAAGAAAGAAAGAAAGAAAGAAAGAAAGAAAGAGAAAGTGTGGGGAAGGGGGAGATGGAATAAATGAATAAATAAATAAATAAATGTTGGATTTGTTGAGACTAAATTCATACCTTATCTGATTCAAAAGAAAAATCAAGGTACTTTCATAAACTCTATTATTTAAGAAGAATAATACTGGAACTAAGAATTATTAAAGGCAATTCTAACTTTTTTTTTTTTTTTTTCAATTCTAACTTTTTAAAAAAAATCATAGAGAAAGGGAAACTCTTAAATACTTTTGTAAGAATTTAAATAAGCAAGCCAGGCGCCGGTGGCTCACGCCTGTAATCCTAGCTACTCAGGAAGCTGAGATCTGAGGATCACGGTTCAGAGCCAGTCCGGGCAGGAGTTCTTGAGACTCTTATCTCCAATAAACTGCTAGAAAACCAGAAGTGGTGCTGTGGCTCAAGCGGTAGAGCGCTCACCTTGAGCTGAAGAGCACAAGGACAGTGCCCAAACCCAGAGTTCAAGCCCAACGACCAACCAAAAAAGAAAAAAAAAATTTAAATAAGCAATAACAATGATAGAAAACTGTATAAACACTGTTAAAAAAAAATCTAAAAAACAGGCCAGGTACTGGTGGTTCATGCTTTTAATCATAACAATTCCGACTGAGATCTAAGTATTATGGTTTGAAGCTAGCCAGGTAAGAGTCTATGAGACTCTTACTCCAATTTATCACCAAAAGGCCAGAAGTAGAAATGTGGCTCAATTGGTAGTGTTAGTCTTGAGCAAAAAAGCTCAGGGACAGTGCTCAGGTACTGAGTTCAAGGAACAACACACACACACACACACACACACACACACACACACACACACACACACACACACACACACACACACACACACACACACACACACACACACACACACACACACACACACACACACACACACACAAACTGCTATATATAAAACTTCCTTATGCTATGATCTAGCTATACCACTAGTAGGTATATATCCAAAGGAAATGAAATCAGTCTGTCAAAGAGACATTTGCACTCCACTTTTACTATATAACACTTCACAACTGCTAAGGTAAGAAGTGTCCATCAGAAGATGAATAAAGAAAATGTGTTATAAGTACTCAGTATATTATTCAGACACCCATGCACACACACACACTCTCTCTCTCACACACACACACACACACACACACTCTCACACACACAAGAATGAAACTATCATCTGTAACAATGGGATGGAATGGAAGAATATTATGTTAAGTGAAATGAGCCAGGCACAGAAGGTCAAACATTGCATCAACTAACTCATATGCGAGCTAAAATAAATGCTGATTCATGGAAATAAAGTAGAATAGTGATCGTAGAGGATAGAAAGAACAGGGAGAAGGGAGACAGAAGGAAGGCTGATAAGGGATACAAAAATAGAGTTGAATAGAAGGAATAAAAGCATGTTCTGTAGCACAATAGGGTAATTATAGTTCATAACAATGTGTAATACAGTATACAAGCAACTACAAGAAAGGCATTCTAAGGTTCCCAACACAAGAAAATTATGAACAATTGAGATGAAAATGCTAATTACTTTTACTTGATTATTTTACACCATATATGTACCATATTATCATATTTTATCTCATAGATACATACAATGGTAAACAAAATACAAAGCAAGAAAGATAATGCATTTTTCATGTATGAAAGCAGTTTAACTACCAACAGCAATAACTATCATTGGCTCTACACGGACATGAACTACTATATTAAATTTGAAACTTTAAAAAATATTCCCTAAAATTCCTAACTAAATAAAATTGTTATTCTATTCACTCAAAAATGAGAGTAAATTATAAAGCAAAACTCAAACAGAAATTTTAAAATAAACTTTGCATATGGTTAGGAAATCTTTGTTTACTGGAAATATTAGCTTATCTTCATCAAAAGATCCTATTAATAAACCACACCAAATTGGTAAATACCATTCATGAATTCTAATGTATGCATGCTTTAAAGTATTGTGCTTTGACTCAGGTGACAACAGCAATCTGTAAAGCTATTGAACACCAATATTATTATTTTAATAGTACCAATACATTGTTTTATGTGAAAAGAGACACGTTTACACAGCCTAATGATCCACATACATTCAGCTTGATAATAATATCAGAAACATTGTTAGTTTTAACATGTCCTGATTAGTCCTTGCAAACATTCAGGTCTCCCCAAGTTCACAAAGTAGAAAAATAATTCCTTGTTATGATTTTAAAGGTGAAAGTATAACTTGGTATTTTTTAAAAAGATGAATAACCAATAAATTAATGTCATTTTAAAATAAACTACTGTGGAAGATTGTTGCTATTTTTAAAATGCTGCCACCACGCTGCCATTTATCAAACATAACTAAATGCGGAAAAACTGCTACAATATTCATTGTTTTTCTTTTTCTTTTAATAATGGAAGCAGGTGTTTTGGGTTTTTTTTGTTAACACTTACCATCCACTCGGATATAATAACATCCACTTTATCTACAGGAAGATGAACTTCTTCAATCTTGCCTTTAATTAGCGTAACAGTATCTTCAAGTTTATTTAGTCTGAAAATTATCATGAGTGGGATTAGTATGAGAAGCAGATTCTGAAAGCTAATTAAATTACATAATTCTTTTACCAAGTGCTCATACTGTCCTGTGGAGTAAGCATGTTGCAAGTTTACTTATTTCTTGAGTATTACTATTGTTATAACAATGAATACCCCCAAATGTTTCTGGTTAATATGGCAATATACTCACTGAGTAATAAAAATGTCAGCCTAAAAGAAATCTGACCGTTTTCAAGAAAACATGTATCATATAATAAAATTACTAGGTCTTGAAAAGAAATACTTTAAAGGAGGGATGGAAACAGATCAGCATGAGTACAAAAGTATGAATTAAAGGAATTGACACATTAAAGGCCTGAGTCTTCATTTTAATGCCCCAATTCCATCTCAGTGTTTGTCAGCTACTGAATCTTCACCAAACGTGTGCTTGCTAAGCCATTGTGCTTATGTTTACACCCTGCTAGGGGATCAAATATATCATTTTGAATAAGAATAGTTTTGCTTCTGCATTTGCTTTTTTATTTTTGCTGCATTATAAACCATGTATTTATTATTTATTAGTGTACATTGGTTTTACAAAGGTGGTTTCATTGTGACATTTCCACATATACGTATAATATCCTCAAACTGACCTCTTCTCCCTTCTTAAAATAATTTTCCTATTTTATTTTCACACATGCAACTAACCGGTTGACCATAGTCTCGCCCTCATTCAGCCCCTTGAGTTAACTACTTAACCCCCTCCCACTAGTACCCAGCCCCTTCCACAGAGCGTGTTATATTTTCCCTTTTTTTGAGGGGGGGGGGGGGCAGTCCTAGGGCTTGAATTCAGGCCTGGGCACTGTCCCTGAGCTTTTGTTCAAGAATGATACTGTACCATTGAGTCACAGTTCTACTTCCAGCTTTTTGGGTGATTAATTGGTGATAAGAACCTCACAGACTTTCCTGCCCAGGCTGGCTTCAATTTGAACCTCAATCCTCAGATCTCAGCCTCCTGAGCAGTAGTAGCTAGGCAAGATCCACCAGTGTCGAGCTTTTCTTTTCTTTTTTCTTTTTAGTTCTTGTTTGTTTTGGTTTTAGAGTTTTTTGTTTTTGTTTTTTACTATATTTTAATTGTACCAAGAGGTTTTACCATGGTATTTCAGATCTGTCATTTTCAATTTATATACTTTTTTTTGTATCACCTTGCTTCACTAGCTACAATTCTGCAATAGAGGAGGTGATGCGGATATGCCTATCTTGTTCTTGAACTTAAAGAGAATGCTTTAGTGGTTCCTCAGGATGCTAGATGTAAACAGAAGGGATGAATTTGATGGCAGCTGTAGGGTTGGTTTTTTGTTTTGTTTTGTTTTTTGGTTGGTCATGGGGCCTGAACTCTGAGCCTAGGCACTGTTCCTCAGCTCTTCAGCTCAAGGTTAACGCTCTACCACTTGAGCCACAGCACCACTTCTGGCTTTTTCTGCTTATGCGGTGCTGAGGAATGAAATCCAGGGCCTCATGCATGCAAGACAAGCACTCTACCACTGAGCTATCTTCCCAGCCCTGTAAGTTTTATTTTTGTAGGTGTACCGTATTAGAACATCGCTTTCTACTTTAATATGATCTTGTTCCTTTCTTTCTCCTCTTGTTCTTCTCTGTCTCTCTCTAATTCTTTCCTAATCTTATACTTTTGAGATTGGGTCTTAGTATATAATAGTTCAGACTGGTTCAGACTGGACTTGAACTTGCTATGTATGCCGAGGTTGGCCTTGAGTTCAATTCTCCTGCCTCCACCCTAAGTACTGGTGTTATAGTCATGTCCCATGGAAGCCAACTGCTAAGAATTTTGAATATATACTGAATGAACAATGAAATTTTATCATTTTTCTGCATCTATTACAATGATCTCAAATGATTTTCCTGGTTGATTTTCTCATGTTTAACTGTGCTTTATTGAAAAAGACTTTACCTTCCTTAATATTACCTAATGCAGTTTTGTATTTTACTACTTTTGGTGCTAGGGAAGAAACCTCAAGGCCGTTGGCATGCTAAGAACACTCTCCTACTAACTTGCTTCTCTAGCCCCAGTTCCTAACATTGTAATTAGGATTCTTTTATATGTCTATGTTCCTGCATTAGTGACCTGGGTTTTTTTTTTTTCTGTTCTATTGCCAGGTTTTAGTTTTAAGGTTTATTATTAGTTATATATATAGTTGATTTGTTTTTGAAAAGATAACCTCCAAGTGGACAGGAAAGAACTGTCTTGTCCTAAGTCTTTAGGATCAAATGGGTGAGAGGGATGAGCAAGAACTGCTATTTCATCTCATAAACACAAATCACTGCCTAGTACAGATCTAAATGTAATAGGCACAATTACAAAGTGTTTATATAATATATCCCCCTCCCAAGCCCTATTTAGGTTGCTATTTCTTATTCAACCCCTAAATAATAGCAATTATAAATAAGAATGGTGGTAAATAAGATATGAGAATTTCAGTTCATAAAAGTTATGAAAAGAGCCGGGCACCAGTGGCTCACGTCTGTAATCCTAGCTACTCAGGAGGCTGAGATCTGAGGATTGCAGTTCAAAGCCAGCCGGGGCAGGAAAGTCCATGAGACTCTTATCTCCAATAAACCACTAGAAAACCAGAAGTGGCATGTGGCTCAAGCGGTAGAGTGGTCGCCATGAGCTTAAGAGCACAGGGACAGTGCCCAAGCCCAGAGTTCAAGTCCTACGACCAACCAAAAAAAAAAAGTTATGAAAAGAGGTAAAAGTGAGAGGTGGAACATTTGAATTACATAAAACCTATAAAGAGCTCAAGGCCAAAATATAGTCTACTAATAAGGAAAAAGAACACATAAGAAACCCAAAGACATAAGCAAATATTTCAGTAAAGAAAATGTCCAATAACCACACAAAATAGTGCTTAAGTCCCACTATCAATGACAGAAACAAACAAAAAAGCACTGCTACATAAGCAATTTGAAAATCTTTTAAAAGCACAATCTAGAACCTGTTAACATACTACTGATATGAATGTAAACTGATATAAACACTTTGGAAAATAGACTGGCAATATCAAAAAAAAATCTTGAGGATATATACATCTTGAAGACTTCTATTCTACTTGTAAGTATTCCCTGCAGGTACACTACGATATGTGCGCAAAATGTCTGCAACGCAACAGAACTGTTCATAGAAGCCCATCTGATTGAGAAATAGCTGAGGACTGGATAGGATTTTGAAGTTGTGGAAAAATCTCTTATCTTCAATATGGTGACTATATGTTTAATTTTGTTTGCTATTTGTGCATTCTTGAATATATTAATGCTAGTTCAGTTTTTGTACTTTTTCCATATGCCACGCTTCATAAAAAATCTTGAAAAAAAATGCATATATCTGAGTTTTTAAAAAGGTAAGCAATAGGCCAGGTGCCGGTGGCTCACACCTGTAATCCTAACTACTCAGGAGGCTGAGATCTGAGGATCACAGTTCAAAGCCAGCCCAGGCAGGAAAGTCTGTGAGACTCTTATTTCCAATTAACCACCAGAAAGCTGGAAGTGGCACCTGTAGTTAAAGTGGTAGAGTGATAGCCTTGAGCTGAAGAGCTCAGAGATAGTGCCCAGGCCCAGAGTTCAAGCCCCATGACTAACCAAAAAAAAAAAAAAGCAATAAGATTCTTTCTGATGAAATTACTATGGCTGCCTATTGTTTACTGAAATGCTTATCAGGCTTTAACAATTATAAGCACTTTGATAAAAGCAAAAGGCAAGCTTTTGAAAAGAACAAAATGTCCCCATTGCTAAAATATCTTTAGAATGTCTGTGCAGAAACAAGATCTGTGTTCTGAAAGTGGCCATCTGCTTAGGCTGTTTATTGTCTGCTACAAGTCATAATCCTATTTGCATCAGTAATTACTTGTTCAAATATGAATATAACAGGGAAGATTATGATTTCAGGGAATACACAGGAAAAAAAGACAAAGCATCATAATTCCTAGTAATTTGTATTAAAATACTTTGACATAGATAGCATCCACACAGATAACCTCTTTCATAAGGCTGTTAATCTTGTCACCTGATTTCCCATTCATTAAAAAAAAAAAAAAAAGACTAGATTTTTACTTTGTTTTCTCAAATGGCTACTCCCTTAATCTCACTTCAAGGATAAAAGCATTCAAAGTGAATCCTATCTTTGGCAACACCTGTTGAAAATCTAGTGTACCTTTAATTTGTAGAAATATTTCATTATAATAAAAAGCTTATTTTAAGCAATTCTCTTGACAAAACAAATAAATACAATGATCAATTTAGTTTCTAAGTAGAAATTAGTTTACTTAGTTTTCTGATAAAAACAACAAAGACTTCCCTATCTTACTTCCTATTTTAAGAGTAGCAACATAACTTCTACTTCATTCATGATGAAGTGATGAATTCTCTTAGACTAGGCATACAGAAATAGAACACAGTCCCTGCCCTTAAATATGATGTAAGACAGAAAGAGTATTAAAAATCATAGAGTACCACAGTATCCCATATAGCTAAGAAAGCAACATCTGAATTTAGCCATGCAAATACCATCACAAAGATAAACAGATGGAGTAGAGGAGTGAAAAGTGGCAAACTTAAAGAATTATGAATAGCTGAGTGCTAGTGGCTTACACCTGTAATCCTAGCTACTCAGGAGGTTGAGATCTGAGTATCATGGTAGGAAAGTCAGCGAGACTCTTATCTCCAACTAACCACCAGAAAACCAGAAGTGGCACGGTGGCACTCAGCTCTCTTGAGCTGAAGAACTCAGGGACAAAGCCCAACTAACCACCAGAAAACCGGAAGTGGCGCTGTGGCACTCAGCTCTCCTTGAGCTGAAATGAATGCTCAGGGACAAAGCCCGGGCCCAGAGTTCAAGCTCCACAAATGACCAAAAAAAGAATTATGAATAATTCACTATGACTAGAACAGAGACAAAGTTGGAAAGAGTAAAAAGGTGATGCTTACTGAGTCTAGATTTTACTTAAAGACAAGACTCAGGATCTCAAAATAAGTTATTAGAACAAATCTCTAATCCACTTTGCTCAAAGTAATGCAGATAAAAGCCATGGTTGATATTCTATGGAATGTGGAAAAATAGACAACCAAACAGCATAAAGTATCATGGGAGTTCATGCAATGAGGAAATAAGTAAATAAACAGGTAGATGGGTAAATAATACTTAAAGCTAGTGATAAAACAATTCTAACAAGAACTTTTGATGACCACTATTTTAAATAGCCTATGAGACTCTAGCCTGCAATCTGAGCTGATCTAAGGATCACCATTCATAGCCAGCTTTGAAAGAAAAGTTCAAAAGACTCCTATCCCCAGTTATCCACCCAAAAAAGCTGGAAGTAAAGCTGTGAATCAAGTGATAGAGCACTAGTCTTGAGCAAATAAGCTCAGGAACAGCACATAGGCCTTGAGTTCAAGACCCAGAACAAGCATAAACAAAAAAAAAAGAAAAGAAAAGAAAAGCATGTAATGAGAGTGCAAAGAAATACAGGAATAGATTTTTAAATATACTAACCATATTTCACATGCTATTCAATAGGTCAAAGTCTACCTATTTCTCTCTTTTTTTGATACTCAAGCACACGGAAATAATAGTAAAATAAAAAGTGTAATAAGTGCTTTTTGTAAGATGATATCAAAGATTCTAGAAAAGAAAAAAATGTAATGAAATCACAAGAGCAAAGTTGCAAAGATCCACTGCTTAGAGTACCTATCAGAGAAGATTCTATGGGAGGTGGAAGCCACCTCACATAACACAGAGCTCTGGGGTCCAGAGTTTCATAAATGGGTCTTACCAAAGGAACTAAGAAACTACTCAAAGAATTGTATTTTGATTCTTTTCCATCAGACAGAAAAATAACACCAGTTATCTTTATTAAAGGATCTAGTATTCCATTCATAATTGCAAGCAAAAAAGCACAGGTCTTTAACTAACAGAGGCATGAAACACCATATTACCAGGCAATTAAAACAAAACAAAAACAAAAAACAGGGCTGAGATGTGGACCTAAAACAACTCTATTCATGTGGGTCTCCTCCCAAGTATGTGTCACTTATAATGTGTGGTATTAAACTGAGGCCATTACTATTTGGAATGAGCAGTAATTCATCTTCTAATATGGAAGAGTGATGAAAAATCATCTGTATTCTAGCAGAGACAACAGATTTTCAGGCCTGGTGATGATGACTCAATTGGCTTTCAACATGTGATATCCTAGGTGTTGAAAAAGATACCAAGAAAGCTCTTATCCTAGAATCTAGAGGATAGTTACATAAATAATATAGCAGATCTAAACATCCTCTAGACTTTTCTTTTTATTTTTTGTGGTGCTGGGGAATCAAACCTATGGGTTGGCACATGCTAGCAAGTATGCTACACTCCCAGGCCCACTCAGGCCATTCTCAGTATTTCCTTTCTAGTTTTCTGTACACAGGTAACACAAGATTCCATCTTTACTGTCACAATGAGACTATAAGTACTGAATTAAGGCAGTATGATGGATCAGTCATCTCAGGAAAATTCAGTAACATTCAAAATATTCTGAATAACGAGCTTACTCTAGGGCAGCATCAATGAGAAACCAAAGGCATCCAGAATAATGGCAAAAGCATTACCAGAAGCTATCTCTGCTTCCCAGGAGTGAATTGAGTATATAATCATTTGGCAGAATAGCTTTGCTATCCTTAGGTAAGTTTATGTTTCTGAAGTAAACATTCATTTGGTAAAGTTCAAAATATAATAGCAAGAATAAGAAACAAGTTCTCATTCTCTCCTATACATCATTTTTTAGTTTATTTGCCCTTAGTAATATAACATCTTAGATAAACTTGTATTGTTTTTTCATGTCTGCAAGTTAAGAACAGCCAGATTTAATTTCTTAAACTGCATTATGTCAGCTTACATTACACAACCAAAATTCCTTTCTCAGGAACATTACATCATTTTTTTTTTTAAAAGTAAGGAAAGGTCACTGGAGAATGCCTTGGAAGGACATATCTTATCCCCGGTCCTTCCTTCTTTCTCTTTCTTTGCTTTCTGGTGACATGAGGTAAGGAGCTTTCCTCTATCACTTCGTTCAACCATGCTATTCTACCTTATTACAGACCAGAAATAGAAACTGAGGCACAATTATCTTTCCTCCTTGAAGTGTTTTCTCAGGAATTAATCACTATGATGACGACTGACTGATAACACTCATTAAATGACTAAAAATTAAAAGTATACATGAGAAACAAGTTTTTTTTCTAAAAAGCTTTGATACTATATCCTCTAGTATTTATATATAAGAAATTTGAGGGCTGGGAAGGTGCTCAGTGGTAGAGTGCTTGCCTCATATGCATGAGGCCCTGGGTTCGATTCCTCAGCACCACATAAGCAGAAAAAACTGGAAGTGGTGCTATGGCTCAAGTGGTAGAGCGCTCGCCTTGAGCTGAAGAGCTGAGGGACAGCGCCCAGGCCCAGAGTTCAAGCCCATGACCCACCAAAAAAACAAAACAAAACAAAACAAATTTAAATATAGTCTTTGTATAACCATGTTTCTAAAGCAAAAAAAAAAAAAAAAATCACTAGAAATCAAACCTTCTTCTACTTCTCTAAAGTAAAACCAAACAATGTTACTGGTATACTTTTCAATTTCTTCCATAAACTAAACTAAGAACACAGGAAGTCCCATTTTACACAAATCAAAAATGACAATTTAAAACATAAATATGGTCTATCCTAAGATTAGAAATATCTTACCATAATCTCATTATCAATAATAACTCTTTATTACTTCTTCTAGAATCTCTTCTTTGGGACAGTGGCACTCATATTTGTTTGTATGACCGCTGCACAAGAAACTCAAAAGTGCTCTCTATAGAACCCTCAAAATGATGATAATGTATTCAATAGGACATCACAAAAACTAGGAAGAAAATCTTTACTAAACTGCTTATATGATGACATATTCAATAGGACATTTCAAGAACTCAGAAGAAAATGTCTACTAAATAGAATTGCATGTATGATATATTTAACTGGACTCTAAAAGAAGTAGGAGGAAAACCTTCACTAAATAATAAAACTGTACATATAAATTACAACTGCAATTACTTGCTAATAATAATAATAATAAATGTTCAAACATTTGCTTTGTGTCACGCTATATGATTTGTATGAATATATATGTATATACTTTACTTATAACTTATTTCATTTTCACTTGACTTTAAAACAGGTTTACAACAGGTAAAATAAGATCTACTTCAAGTTCAAAATGCTTGTTAAATGGTAAAATGAGGACAATCCAAGCCTAACACAAACCTGTGCTTTAATCATATTATTTACCTTCTATGGTGTAGAATAAAATCTAAAAACATTAAGCATTTTTTATCATCATATTTTAAATTTGCAATATTTGAAAAGATGAACAGAAAGAGTTAGAACATAAGTTTAAGTGGGAGAAACATCTAAATATTGCTACATGAAGCTTTCTATTACTTTCTCTGGAAATTATTACTAGATGTCAAATAAAAGGTGCTTTGTTAAAGAGCTAAAGAAATCTAATTCTATAAACTATTTCGAATACAGGCCTTTTAACATTAACTATAAATCAGACATTTTGGGGGATAGAATTTTTTAGGAAATAGACATTTTTAGGGGATAAACCATTCTGTTTTTAGGAATTTTTTTGAATTTACATCATACATAGTACCTACAATCTATTTGCTAAAGAAAATACTACTGACATACTAGTTCTGTGTCAGTATTATCCTACCTATCAAAAACTTCTTAGCTTATATGAGAACTAACATTTATATAGTCACAATCAGAAATATAAGAAAATAATATAAAATAATTCTAGAATAGATTACTCATTACCATAGTTTAAACCTATCTTGTTCCCAGCTTATAATCTCATTATGCCAGAGTAGAGGTTTACCAAAAGCAAAAAATGTCTAAGTCTTCATTAGATAGCAGCTAAAGATAAGAAAACAAGTTAAATAATTGTTCGATTTAAAGCCTTAAAAATTGTCTACCTTATTATATCCATCGCCTGGTAAAGAATTTCGGATTGATCAACTCCAAGAACTTTCTTTGCTCCAGCTTTAGCAGCAAACATAGACAGAATTCCAGTTCCACACCCAACATCCAAAACTACCTGATGCAAAACATGTAAATAAGGAAAATAAGCTTCAGAGATGGAAAGAAGCAGGTCCAGGGTTATAGGGTTGATAAATCATAGAAACAGTATTCAAACACAGGTTAAATACATTTCTCGAGCTTCTATTTTAATATTTTAATTGAGTATTTTTATGACTTTTAGCTAAGAAGACAGTGATTAAACAAACAAATTTGACAGACTCAAAGAAAGACTCAAAGATTCAAACTAACTGAATAAGGTAATGATGAAGGAAGCTGATTTACTTTTTCTAAAAATGAAGGAAAAGTTAATTATAACTGTAAATAAAAATCAGAAGCATAAAGAGGACACCTAGCTGAGAATTTCTTCCAGGGACTGCAGAAATTAATTATGAGAGGGTGATAACTCGATTAAATGCTACCCAAGGTTAAATTAATCTGAGGACCCATATGGTCTCCACAGGAGCTTTGTGATTTCAAACAAAAAGGAAAGAGGAAAGAGGAGGGAAAAAAGGGAGGAAATTTAATTAACCAACATTCTTTTAAAAAAATATTTTGTTTTGTTTTGTGCCCATACTGGGGTTTTTATTTTTATTTACTTATTTTTGTTGGCTTTTCAGCTCAAGGTGAGTGCTATACCATTTGAGCCACTGCACCACCTGGCTTTTTCTGCTTATGTGGTGCTGAGGAATCGAACCCAGGGCCTCATGCATGCAAGGCAAGCACTCAGCCACTGAGCCACCTTCCCAGCCCCCCATACTGGGGTTTTAACTCAGGCTGGCAGTTTAGTATTTGAGTTACACCTTCCAGCTTTTTGCTGGTAAACTGGAAATAAGAAATTTTGGATTTGTCTGAGTGAGCTAGCTTTAAACCATGATCTTCAGATCTTTGCCTTCTGAGTAGCAAGTATTAGATATGGGCCACTGATGAGTGGCTAAATCTCTGCTGTTACAAAAACAAAGAGAGGAATCCTGCATCTCAGGATGCTGAGATGCAGAGGACTGCAATTCAAAGCCAGCAACTAGCAATCTATGAGATTCATCCTAATCATAAACACACATATGTTTATACACACACATACATATGATTTAGTTGACTATAATGCAGTATATAAGAAATGAATTTCCATGGAGTAAAGCTTTTTAACAATTAATAGTTTAACAAAATGAATTATCTAAAAGCTGAAATTTGATAGGAAAGAGTAAATTGGAAAGGAATACATGAACGAAAAAGGAATGGGTCAAATACAGCAAAAATCTTCAATGTACATATGTGATAAAGGTAGTGGGAAATGTGAAATGAGTCAGAGAATGGGGAAGGAGAATGATGGGGAAATGATTCTAAGATGCACTGGACACGTCGAGGGACATGTTAAATTGTACTTCCTTGGACAACCTTTTTAAGTTCAGTAAAAAAAAAAAAATTAAGTAGAGGAAAACTGTATTGTTTTATATTTTTTTAAAAATACTAGGGGCTGGGGAGGTGGCTCAGTGGTAGAGCGCTTGCCTTGCATGCCTGAAGCCCTGGGTTCGATTCCTCAGCACCACATAAGCAAAAAAAAAAAATAAAAAATACTATAGGGCTGAGAAGGTGGCTCAATGGTAGAGCACTTGCCTTGCATGCATGAGGCCCTGGGTTCGATTCCTCAGCACCACATAAGCAAAAAGAAAAAAGCCAAGCCAGAAGTGGCGCTGTGGCTCAAGTGGTAGAGCGCTAGCCTTGAGCTGAAGAGCTGAGGGACAGAGCCCAGGCCCAGAATTCAGGCCCCATGACCGAACCCCCCCTCCCCCCAAAAAAACAACATATAAATAATTTCCTAATTTTATCTAACTGATTTGTAACAGGATAGTATCCTGTTACAGCAAACAAAAGAGGCACAAAAAATAAAAGGCCAATTCAGACACATCCCAAAGCAATATAAAAATCAGTACAACCTCCAATCTACTCACTGCTTCACTGTCATATAAACCCCATGAGGGAATCTTAGAGAAGTACTTTTTAAAAAAGTTTTTTTGTAAAGATGATGTACAGAGAGCAGTTAGTTACATAAGGTAGTGATTACATTTCTTGTCTAACTTGTTACCCCTTTCCTCATTTTTCTCCCTCTTTCTCTCTACCCCTCTTCCCCCGACAAGAGGTACAGATCATTTCCAACATGTTGTCTTGTGAGTCTCGCTGCTGCATAGGCTCCCCCTTTGTCCTTTGTCTCACCTTTCCCTAGTTCTGATAAACATATATAAAATGCCCAGGGTACCAAAACTGAATGCAGTGACAACAGGGGATAAACCATAGGGGGGAAAACACAGAAGAAAGAGAAATCACATAGTACACTGCGAGCAACAACAGAAAAGAAAAACCTCTTGTGTCCATGTCTTGGGAGTTCATTCCACTTAGCATCATCTTACATGGTCCTATGTGCACAGCTATTGAGCTATTCTGCTCAGCTGCTAAGATTATCCTAGATGTATACTAATTATTAGAAATAAGGGAGACCATGAGGCCTATGTTTCTTTGGGCCTGGCTTACTTTACTTAATATGATTTTTTTCCAAGTCCTACCATTTCCTTACAAATGGGGCAGTGTCATTCTTTCTGATGGAAGCATAGAATTCCATTGTGTATGTGTATCACATTTTCTTGATCCACTCATTACTGAGGGGCATCTGGGTTGGTTTCATATCTTAGATATGGTAAATAATGTTACAATAAACATAGTTATGCTGGTAGCTTTAGTGGAGAAGTATCTTTTAAAATAGAGGTTAGAAGAAACAAAAACCTGGGGCTGGGAAGGTAGCTCAGTGGTAGAGTGCTTGCCTTGCGTGCCTGAGGCCCTGAGTTCAATTCCTCAGCACCACATAAGCCAAAAAAAGAAGAAGAAGAAGAAGAAACAAAAACCTGGCATATTCATTGTGTCTGTATATGTATTACGTGTTTTTATTTTGGTTGGTTGTAGGGCCTGAACTCTGGGCCTGGGTGCTGTCCCTTAGCTCTTCAGCTCAAGGCTAGCACTCTACCACTTGAGCTATAGTGCCACTTCCAGTTTTCTGGTAGTTTATTGGAGATAACAGTCTCACAGACTTTCTTGCCTGGGCTGGCTTTGAATCTCGATCTCAGCCTCCTTAGTAGCTAGGATTACAGGTATTAAGCCACCCGGGTATTAAAGGGCACCCGGCATTTTCTTTTTTTCTTAAAGTGAGAAGAGTGAAAAAATTCCCAAGCAAAAGTATGTAAATGGCAAAAATCATAATTCTTGAGAAAATTAGCGGACTGTTTCTAATAAGCAAAAATAAAAGAACAAACATGTCAGCGTAGCCAAGACAGTGAGGAAGCGGGGAGGGAGAGAGCAAGAGAAGAACAAATGGAAAGGATTCATAAGGAAGGAAACAAATTTCCAGCATCAAAAGTCTATCATCTCTAAAATAAATGAGGTAGTACAACAGCTGCAAAATATAACGGTGTAGAATAGACCAAAACAATAAAATATTTTTTAAAATCAGGCAAATAAATTCTACCTTATAATATTTAACCAAATTCTTTAATAACACCTTAAAATTATTGATTTTCAACTACTTAAAGCACACTAGAATAAAACTGGATTCATCTGACACATCTAAAATCACGTAAGTTACTCTATATCATAAATGTGGTTTGGGCAAAATTATTTGGATAAGTGAAGCCTAACTTTTGTCACTGTAATTAATGACTTTCTTTTCATTAATGATATTTTTGTTCTTTTGTGCCAGTACTAGATCTTGAACTCAGAGTCTGAGCACTGTCTCTAAACTTTTTTGCTCAAGGATAGAGCTCTATCACTTAAGCCATAGCTCCATTTCAAGTTTTTGGTTGGTTAAAAATAAGAGCCCAAGCCCAGAGTTCAAGGCCACGACCAACAACAACAACAAAAAAAAGAAGTAAGAGTCTCACAGACTTCCTGTCTGAGCTGGATTTAAGCTGGTAATTCTGAGATCCCCTCCTCCTGAGTAGCTAGAATTACAAGTGTAAGCCACAGGAACTTGGTTGCAATTAACTTTCAATTTAGGAAAACAACTATACTGGAAAGCAGTACCAATCACTATTTCTTTTCAGGATCCTGCACCACAGGGCAGCACCATAAAGTTCTTCCATGAAATAAAGCTAGGGTATGGGTTGGGAAGGTGGCTCAGTGGTAGAGCGCTTGCCTTGCATGCTTGAGGCCCTGGGTTCGATTCCTCAGCGCCACATAAGCAAAAAGAAAAAAGCTGGAAGTGACGCTGTGGCTCAAGTGGTAGAGCGCTAGCCTTGAGCTGAAGAGCTGAGGGACAGCGCCCAGGCCCACAGTTCAGGCCCACAACAGGACCCAAAAAAAAGAAAGAAAAAAAGCTAGGGTAGCCTGTAATCCTAGCTACTCGGGAGGCTGAGATCTGAGGATTGAGGTTCAAAACCAGCCTGGGTAGGAAAGTCTGTGAGATTCTTATCTCTAATTAACCACCAGAAAAGTGAAAGAGGCGCTGTGGTTCAAGTGGTAGAGCAGTCACCTTGAGCTGAAAAGCTCAAGGACAGTGCCCAGGCCGAGAGTTTAAGTCTCACAACCAAAAAAAAAAAAAAAGGCAAGCAAGCAAGCTAGGGTGAAATAAATCAACTGCTATATAATAATGAGCAAAGGAAGGACTTCTACCACTCAAGAACAGCCTATACTACTCACCTTATCTTTGAAGATATGTGCATTTTGGTATATAAAATCTCTGTAGCTTTCTGTTCGTACTCTGTCCTGTTAGAAAGAACAAAACATTGTGTTTACAGGTACACGTGGAACAATTAAAATTTTTAGGAATATATTTGCTATTTGTTCACATACTACTACTTTCCACAGCTTTTTGCGTAGAAAACCAAGTTTAGGGTTTTGGTTTTTAAGACAAAAATACAGAATAAGATTAGCAATAACGAAGCATTTATTCGGAAAGCATCACTGAAAGTCAAAACCACTTACGTTCAAAACACACGTTTTTCTCTTAGAAGAGTGCACTATCATCCTGTGACTTTAAATCATCTTAAAAAGGTCCAAGAATGTAAAGCATGAATCCCTGCACCAAAGCTCCATTAAAACAAGTGAAAGAAGAAACAAAATAATGTAACAATAAATAAATAAATAAATGTAGCAGGCACATTTGAAAGCAGAATCGAATGCTTCTCCGAGAAAATCATTCCCAGCACCTATCTGATTAATAATCCTATTTTTTTACTAAAAACTTCTAAAGGAAATGATGCTTAAATTTCTAAAGGAAGTGACACTTAAATGCCTGAAAGCCTAAAAGTAAATCATTTAACCCCCACAGCCCACATTATGGACGTCTCTGCACTGAAACCCCATTTAAACTGTGAACAAGGCAGGCACTAAAAATCTTCACCTGTACACTTATGTATGTCAGGAACAACTGATTCCTGAAGATGAGACACATACAGACTGCTAATTACATTCCTTGGGACTACAACTATGATAAAAAAAAATAAATCTCACAAAATGAAAAAAGTTCTAATTTGAGGTTTCACACTTAGATAAAAAGAAAATACACTCAACTGTCTATATCTATGCATTTCATTTTCATGCATTCACCCAATTACAGATGAAAAATATTTCAAATTGCATCTATGCACTGGTATAACGAATACCAGTGCTTTGTAGCTAACATAGCTTCAGCTTAGAGACTGATTTTTTTTGCAAGAGTGTGAAATGCAAGCAAATTCACAATTACCTTTCATAATCAATTCTAAATACAGGCTTTTCTTGTCATTATTCCCTAACAATACAATATAATGCTATCTACACAGAATCTATTTTGTATTAGTAAGTACTGTAATGTAGGGACAATTTTAAAGTATACAACAGGATGCATGTCACTTATATGTAAACACTGGACCACACTATATAATGAACTTGAGTAATCTGCAGACTTTAGCATCCTTAGGGTCTTAGAACCAATCCCCCAAACGTACCAACAGTCACCTGCAGTGTTATGCTACTCAAATTATAACCCTCAAAAGCATCTTTATACCAATATTTATACATTTTTTAAAACATAAAGGAGAGATCTTGAAAGGCAAGTTATTTACTTATTTGTAAAATGAAATACTCAGAATTCCATGCTTTCTCATTATTATTTCAATTGTTTTACAAGAAAACATTATTCAAGCTTATTATATCTTTCCCTTTAATTCTAGTTTTTTGTTGTTGTTTTTGCCAGTCCTGGGACTTGAATTCAGGGCCTGGGCAATGTCCTTGAGCCTCTCTGTGCTCAAGGCAAGCACTCCACCACATCTGGCCTTTTCTGTTTGTGTGGTGCTGAGGAATTGAACCCAGAGCGCTTCATGCATGCTAGACAAGCAGTCTACCACTAAGCCACATTCCCAGGCCCTTATTTCTAGTTTTTAAAAGTTACTATAAAAATTATTAAACAAATGTATGTAAACACTCATGGTCTAATTTTTAAATGGTCCTTTTCAAAGCCTAACTTCACAGATTTTTACTTATATTCTTTGCACTGGAAAATGGTGATTTTTGCTGAAGAAACAATATGTACAACGGTGAGCATCAGTCATGAATGCAGTCACCTGGAAAGCTCTCACCGATCACCTGCCTTACCACTGCCCTGCTTAATCAATAGAGCCCTAACTGCTGTCCTGGCTCCATGCACGGCTGCCCAGCTAAGCTGCAATCCTTCATGTGGTTCTTTCTATAGATTCGTCTGTTTTTGTTCATATGCTTATCCAGGTATAACGAATACCAGTGCTTTGTATCTAACATAACTTCAGCTTAGAGACTGATTTTTTTTTTTGCAAGAGTGTGAAATGCAAGCAAATTCACAATTACCTTTCATAATCAATTCTAAAAATTTATTCCAACAAAAGATTAAGATGTCAATGCAAACACCAAAGAAATAAAAGATCTTTAATTCCAATGCATTAAAACTAACAAACAAATGAACTAGACCTCTAATTATATTTTAAGGGGTCATGAAGTCCTTGGCCTCCAAATATAAAAACAGGTAAACATGAAGCTAAAGGCAAGAAAAGGGAATATACTCTAAATTTTATACATGCGAATAAAAGAATACTTTTAATGTACAGGCTCATAAAGGTGGACTGAAAGCATGAGTCAGCTGCAGACATGAAGTAAGACTGTAGTAGTAAAAAACTACTAAAATTTCAAATTATTACTGAACACTATAATATGTGATACATGCGCACACAGGATGGCTTCCCATAGAAAAAAAGACAATGATGCATCTTACATTCATAGTGTTAGTCAACAACAGCTCTTCGACAAAAAGGACAAAGGAAAACTTTTTAAAGTTTACATATTCTATCCCCCTATAAATGATATCTTAGACCTTCCAAACAAAACAGAGACCAGTTTGCTTTACTTTAGCCACTGTATTAGTTAGCAAAATAAAGCAGTCTTTTTTTAATGAAATATATCCCTACTTGCTATGAACACTGAAGTCATCACCAAGAGGTAATTACATTGTATGACAGGTGAGTCTAGCAAAGGACAAGGATGGTACTAGAACTTCTGAAGTCTGTTGTACATCAAAAACACTTGCACAATAGTCAAGTGTGCATATCCTCTAGTTACTGATGTAAGTATTAAGTGTTCAGGATAGAAATGTGTAATTGCTCAAAATGAATTTCCCTCGTGAATTACACTGAAACCATTCATACCTACTAGTGATATGTGTAGACTTGCCTGAAAAACAACTCAAGTGCTATACCATCATGGCATTTACCTAGATTAAAGATGGGAAAGGTAGATTTTTTTCAAGGTAATAAAGCTAATAAAATTAGCTTTAAAAAATATCTGAGACAAGACAGAATGAACAACAAAATAAGTAAATTTCTTCTCTTTTTTATTTTGTACCAGTCCTAAGGCTTAAATTCAGGGCCTGGGTGCTGCCCCTGAGCTCTTTTGTTCAAGGCTAACACTACCAATTGAGCCACAGCACCACTTTCAGCTTTTTAGTGGTTAATTGGAGATAATATTCTCTTAGGTTTTTTTTTGCCTAGGCTGGCTTTGAACCACAATCCTCGTATCTCAGCCTCCTAAGTAGGATTATAGGTGTGAGCCACCGGCTCCTAGCACACCCAGCATAAATTTCTTTTAAACAAGTTTACCTGACTTAAATCAATTTACAACATAGAAGACACCTGATATTTATAATGCAATGCCATTAGTAATGATACAATATTGCTTTAAAAAAAACCTCCACAAATATAAACAGTATAAATCAGCAAACCTCCACTTTACAAAACTGACTCAACAAAACTTTTTTTTTGGGTTGGGTCATGGGGCCTGAGCTCTGGGCCTGGGCGCTGTCCCTCAGCTCTTCAGCTCAAGGCTAGCACTCTACCACTTGAGCCACAGCGTCACTTCTGGCTTTTTTCTTATGTGGTGCTGAGGAATCGAACCCATGGCCTCGAGCATGTAAGGCAAGTGCTCTACCACTGAGCTACCTTCCCAGCCCCTCAACAAAAACTTCTAACATTTAATTAAATATGCCTAGTTAGTTAAGATCCATGTTTCAGGAAAATTAGATCTTAAAGTTTACATTAAATAAAATGAGCTTTAAAGAAAGGACTTAGGAATGTCACTGGGTTCATTTTAAGAAAACTGAAGATGCCAATCTAAATCCCCAGAGATAAACACCTAAAATTTCCAGAAATTTTTACAATCTAACTTTTATTTTATACTTTATATTTTATATTAACTTTTATTTTATCTCACAATCTAACTTTTATATGTGTTATAACTTTTATTTTTAGTTTTACTGAATTAGAAACGTTACTATAATTTTAGGGCTAGAAGTGTGGTTCAACGGTATTATCCCAGCCTAGCAACCACAAGACCCTGAGTAGAAACCTCAATATGACAAAGAAAAAACAAAAACCTTGCTATTTTAACATATAATATTTGATGAAACATACATTACGAATTAAAATAACTAGATTTAAATGACTTGACTAATTTAGCATATATTTGTATATATCAATGTCAAGTATAAAAATCGTGCCATAAAAATTGTGAAAATTGGGCTGGGAAGGTGGCTCAGTGGTAGAGCGCTTGCCTTGAATGCATGGGGCCCTGGGTTCGATTCCTCAGCACCACATAAGCAAAAAGAAAAAAGCCGGAAGTGGCGCTGTGGCTCAAGTGGTAGAGCGCTAGCCTTGAGCTGACGGGCTGAGGGACAGCACCCAGGGCCAGAGTTCAGTCCTCACAACCGGACCCCCCAAAAAAACAAAAAAATTGTGAAAATTATTTATAATTAAACATTATGTCAAAGAATTATTTGCCAGTGTAAGTTAAAACACTAAAACTAATCATTTAGTTCCCATGTTAAAAAACAAGGGTGCAGGGGCTGGGAAGGTGGCTCAGTGGTAGAGCGCTTGCCTTGCATGCATGAGGCCCTGGGTTCGATTCCTCAGCACCACATAAGCAAAAAGAAAAAAGCCGGAAGTGGCACTGTGGCTCAAGTGGTAGAGTGCTAGCCTTGAGCTGAAGAGCTGAGGGACAGCACCCAGGCCCAGAGCTCAGGCCCCACGACCGGACCCAAAAAGAAAAAACAAAAAACAAAAAAAACAAGGGTACAGTTGAATTTCTATTTAGTAGATTCACTTGAAACAATTTAAATGATATGTCGCTTTTTAGCAAGGTTAAAAAAAAAGACTCCATAATAAAGAATAAAAATGACATTAAATAAAATCTATAATGACTGCAATCTTTTCACCTCAAGATCAGCTATTTAAGCACCAGAAATTTAAAAGGCCTAAAATACAAATCAAAAAGAGCAGTTTCCACATATTTCTTCATTCATATGAACTTGGTGTATCTGTGCACTTTTCTAACCTTTAGCATTTCTTCATGTATCCCATAATGCCCGTAGGAGCTGAAATAAACACCATCCTCATCCTCCTGGAGGTCTGCAATGGCAGTAGATGACGAGCAGGTTCTGACATCTGCGTTCATCACAAAATCCTGAGCAAATTGTCTGTAATCAATTTGAAATACACCCTTGAGACAGGTTTATTGGACCATGAAAAAAGGAAAGGCCTAGAGGTTGGGGAAGAGAGAGGGGGAGGGGTGGCTGGTAGAGTCCATCTTAAGCAACTCAATGCTCCCCCTGCTGGATCTTAAGAAATAGACTCCCAAACCCCAAGGGTGAACATTCAGTTCCTCTGCCAATCACAACAGCAATGTGACTGGTTCCTAGTATATAAAAAAAATAATAATAATAAAAATCCAGACACCAGGAAGGGGAACTAAATTGACTACTTTTTCTCATGCAGGGCATTCTGGCAAACCATCAAATGGGTACTCATAGCTTATAAACCCAACAGGCAAACAGCTTTGAGGTAAACCAGTAAGAAATGTAGACTATCTCTACTTTTGAAAACTTAAGATGGGAAAATTAAAGTGAAGAAACCAACTGGAATATAAAATTAAAGGAAAGGCATTAGCTAGGTGCTGATGGGTCCAGCCTGTAATACTAGTGACTCGGGAGACTGAGATCTGAGGATTGCAGTTTGAAGCTGCCTGGACAGGAAAGTCCATGAGACTCTTGTCTCCAAGTAACTAGCAAAAAGCTGGAAGCAGAGTTATGGCTCAAGTGGTAGGGCACCACCAGGTGTGAGCAATAAAATTCAGGGACAGGGCCCAGGCTCTGATCTCAAGCCTAGTAATGGCACAAAAAATAAAAATAAAAAAGGAATTATCAGCAGGGCGCTGGTGGCTCACGCCTGTAATCCTAGCTACTCAGGAGGCTGAGATCTGAGGATCGTGGTTCAAAGCCAGCCCGGGCAGGAAAGACCGTGAGACTCCTATCTCCAATAAACCACCAGAAAACCGGAAGTGGCACTGTAGCTCAAGTGGTAGAGCGCTCTCCTTGAGCTGAAGAGCTGAGGGACAGCGCCCAGGCCCAGAGCCCACGACTGACAAAAAAAAAGGAATTATCAAAGCCATTCAAGAGGATAACATCCATTATCCATTAGTAAACAGCATTTATGAAGTATGTGATATTAATCAACCATATTACATAAGTATCTTTAGTGCTACTAAATTTAATAAATATATTGTGCTTTCCAAAAAACACAATGTTCTGTAGTCTACCTTCCCACCAGCAATGGGAGTTGAGAAAGCTAAACAATTTTCTGTAAAACTGATAAATTACTTCATTCTTTGCAGATCCTCCCGTGCTCTAGCTAATGCAGCTTCGGCAGATAGCGCCCTGGCTTCCATGTGTTTCAATTTCTCAACAACAGATGTACTGTCACTGAGTCCATTGGGATACGAGAATGGGACAGACATAGGCTCATAGAGATCTTCTACATCTAAAGAAATGAACAGATAGCATTATCAGGACATCCTATAATAATGACTATAAATATTATCTTCGGAATAAATTTGTTCTAAGTGCCCATTATCATCCCAGCAAAAGTACTTTTCAATATTTAACATCTATATGATGCCAGTGTAAGTTTTTCATCATTTAGTTAAATGGAACATATATGTATATTAATTATACAGAAGCAAAAGAAGTAGAAAACAACAGCAAAGAAAAAAACCTCTCATACAGCCAGTTTCCCTAGTAACAAAGCTACTTATGGGCCTGTGTTATCTACGGAATATCTCAAACATTCCTTCAGAGAGATCTGCCATTTGCAATTACATGGCTGAATAATATTATGTCATGAAATATGCCAGACAGAGAATGACAAAATACTACATGATTTCACTTAATCATCAAGTCTAAAATGACAAAACACCATATGATCTCACTTACAAGTGAAATCTAAAAAACACCTCACAGAGTGAAGGATAGTGATCATTAGGGCTAAGAGTCAGAAAGACTATAGAGATGTACATGATGAATAGGTTCTGGACATCTCATCTACCACATAGTGATGACAGTGAACACTGCAGAGTCTATGCTTGTAATGTGCTAAGCTAGCAGGTCTTAAGTACTCTCATCAGACACAAGAAAATGCTCTGGGAAGTGATGAATACTGATTAAATTGATGGTGGTAATAATTCCACAATATATACACCACATTCTAACATTGCATATCATAAATGCACATAATTTTCAAATACACCTTAACAAAGTTGAAGATATATTCCTTTGGGCTAGGAGTGTCACTCAAATGTTAAAACTGCCTGCCTAGAAAAGCACACAAAGCCTTGGGTTCAGCTCCCAGTAACATAAAAAACAAAAAGATGATATTCCTTTAGTGATAATGCTGTTTTTCTCAACTTAGGGACATGCTTGCTAGACACATGCTCTACCATATGAGCCATACTCATAGCAAAAAAAAAAAGATATTCCTTAAAACTAGAGTGTACATGAAGACTTCTTCTATACATTCATTAACTTCATCCTGAGCACAGTGGAGTGGCATCTACATACTGACATTACTGACATTGCAAAATATCCAAATGCTAATATTAAAATTATCATAAATTCTCTTGTAGAAAGAAAACACTAGCTGGGTAGGTGGCTCACGCCTATAATCCTAGCTCCTCAGGAGGCTGAGATCTGAGGATTGAGGTTCAAAGCCAGCCCAGGCAGAAAAGTCACTGAGACTCTTATCTCCAATTAACCACCAGAAAACCAGAAGTGGTACTGTGGCTCAAGTGGTAGAGCAATCACTTTGAGCTGAAGAGCTGAGGGACAGTGCCAAGGCCTAGAGTTCAAGCCTCACAACTGGCCCTCCCCCCTCTACCCCCCCCCCCCCAAAAAAAGAATAACACTAGAAGCAAAAGCTAAATAGAGAGCTGGTGAGTTTTACAAAATTTCAACTAGATTTAGTGGTCTTTCAGGTCAACTTAATGCAAGAAATGGTAACAATTGCACATTTATTTTCTCCTCAAATGTAGCACTACAGAAATAACTTCAAAAACAAAAAAACATGTCCAGGTTTTAGTTGTGATTCCCTAAAGATACTTCAGGGTTGGAATGAAGTAGCTAAGCTTACCAAGGAGAAAGGCCCCAACTTGAACTCCTGACACAAAAACAGTGCAATGTGTCACTAACTTCTAATCTCTGTCTGCCATAGAATACCAAGTTACTGAGTTAGTTATTCATTCACCAAAATTTAATGAGCACAACAAAATGTTTCCAAACTATTTAGTTATTTAACACCAGTGTGTTTTACTTCCTTACTATAGTCCTCACTTTTTTTTTCTTTTCTTTTCTTTTTTTTGCCAACGCCTGAACTCTGGGCCTGGGTGCTGTCCTTCAGCTCTTCAGCTCGAGGCTAGTGCTCTACCACTTGAGCCACAGCACCACTCCCTGATTTTTTCTGCTTGTGGTGCTGAAGAATCGAACCCAGGGCCTCATGCATACAAGGCAAGCACTCTACCACTGAGCCACCTTCCCAGCCCTAGCCCTCATTTTTTAAATTTGTTTTGAAATTTTTTCAAGCCTGACACCTATGACTCATGCCTATAATTCTAGTTATTCAGGAGGCTGAGATCTGAGAATCATGATTCAAAGCCAGCCCAGGAAGGAAAGTCTGTGAGACTCTTACCCTCAATTAAGCACCAAGTTGCCAGAAGTGGAGCTGTTGTTCAAGTGGTAGAACACTAGCTTTGAGCACAAAAGCTGAGGGATAGGGTCCAGCCCTGTGCTTAAACACAAGGACTGGCACCAAAAGAAAAAAAATCTTCAAACTGGTTTTTGTTTTAGGTTCTGGTACAATAAAAATCTGTCCTGGTAACAGTTTTTTAAAATAATTTGTAGCTATTTTATTAATTTATTAGTAACTTTATTGAAATTAAATTAATAATTTTTGTGCCAGTCTTGGGGCTTGAACTTGGGGCCTGGGTACTGTCCCTGAGCTCTTTTGCTCAAGACTACACTCTACCACTCGAACTACAGCTCTACTTCTGCCTTTTTGTGGTTAACTGGAAATAAGAATCTCTCAGAAATTTCCTGCCCAGGCTGGCTTCAAACCATGATCCTCAGATATCAGCTTCCTAAGTAGCTCAGATTACAGGCATGAGCCACCAGCACTCAGCTTTACATGAATAATTTATTAATTAACTGATTACTTTGACATTTATCGATATTTTGTTACTTGGAATTCAAGGACTTGGACTTGTTAAGCAGGAACTCTAACCCTAGAGCTACAGCCTTAGCCCTTTTTACTTTAGGTTATTTTTCTGATATGATCTTTGCTTAGGTTGGCCTTGAACTCCAATCATCCACTTTGCCTTCTGAGCAGCTAGAATTACAGGCATGTATCACTGTGTCCAGCCTTGTAGCAATCAGTCATTAAAGGTTAAACTTTGAAAAATAAATTTAAAGGAGAGATGATTGAGTATATATGAAGAGTAGCAAATATCCTTTTTGGATTTGCCTTTTCCTATTTAGCATTATGCTCTAAGTATCAATCTGTTTGTTTCAGTTCTATACTAATTTAGCTATCTTTACATTTTCAAAAGCAAACACTTAGCACATATTTGATATATACTGAAAGTAAGTGGAGGTAGAATGGCTGGTGATTATGCTTAGAGCCAGGGGAATGACAAATTTATATCAACTTTCTCTCCAACAAATGACAAATTGTTACCGAATGCAGGCACTGCACATAACACCATCCCTACTTCTAGCTCTACTTCATTTAATATACATTTCATATAAATGTCTTCATTTATTAATAACAATACATTGCCAGCCAGACCCTGCTGGTTCATGCCAGTAATCTTACCTACTCAGGAGGCTGAGTTTAGGAGAGTCCTAGTTCAAGTTGAGCTCAGACAAAAAAATTCATGAGACTCCCATCTCAACCAATAGCTAGGCAAAGAAGAAGACACCTATCATCTCAGCTATTCAGGGGGCCAAGATCAGGAAGGCCGTGGTTACGGGCCAGCATATCCAAAAGAAGTTCATAAGACTCCATCTCAACAACAACAAAAAACAACTGGCCATGGTGATGCATGTCTGTCAACCCAACTACAAAGGGAAAAAAATAAGAGGATCAAGGTTCAGGCTAATATGAGCAAAAACTGAGACTATTTTCCTAAAGATAAGCAGAGTAGAAAGGGTTGCTGCTGTGGCTCAAGTGGCAGAGAGCATACCTAGTAAGCACAAAGACTTGCTTTCTAATTTCCAACACACATGCACACATATACACACACAGAGTAAATTCTCCTTTACTAACCATTTACCCTGTGTCAGATACTGTACAAAAGTATTTTTGCAAAAATATTTTACATTGTGTATCATTACAATTGCTTTATAAATTAAAATTAAAGGTTAAAATAAACTGAGTTTATAAACCTATGTAGAGTGAACAGTTCCATACTGATATGTATCCACAGTAAAATACATAGTGCTCACTGGCCACTGGTGGTTCACATCTGTAATACTAACTACTTAGGAGGCTGAGATCTGAGGATCAAAGTTCGAAGCCAACCTGGGCAGCAAAGTCCATGAGGCTCTCATGTCCAATAAATGACTCAGAAAAAGCCAGAAGTGGCATTGTGGCTCAAGTGGTAGGGCGCTAGCCTTGAGCAAAAGAAGCTCAGGGACAGTGCCTAGGCCCTGAGCTCAAGCCCAAGGTTCAGCAAAAAAAAAATAAAAAATAAAAAACCACCAAAAAACCCCACAGTACTCACTATATCATTCATCTCAATAACCACTTCTTCTGAGCTGTAGGAACTTTTCTACTTCTCATGACATTTATCATATTCTCCCTTATCTTAAAACTGTAGTACAGACATTAAAAACCCAAAACCAAAAATAACCCATACCAGATTGAGACCTCCTAGTGAGAGGACCATGAGTTTCTTTCTGCTCTTAAGTTTAATATACTAATTCCATACTCTGAGTATTCAGTGATTTGAATGTAAGAAGTTATGAAGAACACCTATTGCCATTTTGCCATTTATCAAAGAGATCACTTCTGAGAAGTGACATTAAAGACAAATGTCCAAATGGAGCTAGAAAATTTTAGAGCTAGAAAGAATTCTAGAAACCTAGCAATAATTGCTCATGGATACAGAAAGCTTTTAGTGCTTTTTCTAAGGTTACACAGTGTGCTACTCCCCAGTACACCATGTCACACAACTCAATAGCAACTTCCCAAGGAAATGAGAGGTAAGAACCAAGTATTGCTCAAATATACACTGTGAAATTATGGTCTCTCGGGTCCATCTCTTCTGATTGGTATAAGAAGTATGGAAAAAAGACAACAATCAGGAAAAGAATATAGGATTTCATTCCTACAGATTAGATTGACAAACTATAAGACATCAGTAGAATTTCCACAGGCCTCCTACACAGTACAGAACAAACCAAAGAACAAACTGGACAAGCAATTGAACAAGGCTATAGTAAATCAGAGTGGTTCTGCCACAAAGGAAGTTTTAAAAATGAGTATGTGGGATAAGCCCATGGAAATGTGTGTGGAATACATTCTGCATCAAAACAGTACATTAGGTAGCTTAAAATTAGTTGTGTGATCTGAATATTTGGGAGAAAAGCAGCAAATGTTCTTAAATCAACTTTGAAGCTTTAAAAAAAAAGCATTGTCTAATAACTAAAAATCATTCTTACTCATTTCCCTATGTTTTGAAATGTCTTGTAATCTCAAACTACTTCTAAAATGCCTTTCTGGTAACTACTAGTATGGCTCTCAGATCTTTTTTCTCCCTGAACAATGATTACTTGAACACAGGTACCATATTGGAACAGACAATCCTAGATAAAAATGGCTAATGACATCAAGAACAACAATATCCACTATGTAGATACACAGAGCAAAAGAAAGATGCACATCTTGGAGAGATAGTGCTGGATAGAATATATTTTATCACACTACTCAAAACACCACGCATTTGAAATTTACAAATTGTTCATTTCCAGAACTTTCCATTTAACATTTCTGGACTGTGGCTGACCATGTGGAGTAGCTGAAATCACATATGTGACATCATATAGTAAAATTACCAGTAAGGCGCGATTTACATGTATATCTTCCTAAAACAGTACTTTCATTTTGTCATAAAAAATATTAAAGTAGATACAGTATGATCATCTTACCAAACTGAAGTAAAAGGTCATCTTCTAATACTGGCTTCAAATATTCTTCTTTCTCCCAAGGCACTGGGTTGTATATGGAATTCATATACTCAACTGTGGGATTCTGGATGTAAAATTAATTGCATGGTTTATTCACTGCTTGTAGTACAAACCTCCCTAGTAAAGACTAGGGAAATTAAGAAAAATCAGAAATGTAGTCTGCTTTACACAAAATTAGTATATAAGAAACCCCTCACCTATTATGGAAATTATATTCCAGAGGAACCTCTCCCCTCCCCGCCCCAATAAGTGAAAATCCACAGTGTTATATTTTATTATTTATATATGTATATATATTAAGGCTTTATAAACCCTTCCCACTCTCCTATAAACCTTTCCCACTCTTATTAACCTCAATTAACATTTTATATTGTTTTAAATTTTTTCGGAAAAATTTAAATCCTAAGTATTATATTAATACATATAGTATACTGCAAAATCCCATGACATAATAAGAGCTCCATGGTACAGAATTAGGTATGTATTTTTTTTTCAAAACCCCAGATACAGTGAAGCTGCAATAAGTGAACCGGGATATAGCCAGGGACAACTGTGTTGCTATTTAAGGAGTTATTAGAAGTTATTATAAGTGGTTTTAATGAAGTTTCGTATTGTTCAAATTGATGGAAAGTAACTATAAGTTTAAATTTAATTAAATTTATTTTAAACAAATCAAACAAAAAAGAGCATTCAAAGTACTTAATATCAGACATTCCTGATTTTACAGAATTACCGTCAGCATTTCCTTTTATCTGATATAGAATTGCTTTTTTTCATAGTATTGATTCACCTCTTTAAAATATGACACTTGTGACCGGGTGCCAGTGGCTTACACCTGTAATCTTAGCTACTCAGGAGGCTGAGATCTGAGGATCATGATTCAAAGCCAGCCTGGGCAGGAAAGTCCTTGTGACCTTATCTCCAATTAACGACCAGAAAACTAGAAGCGGCACTGTGGTAGAGTGCTTGCCTTGAGCTGAAGAGCTCAGGGACTGTGCCCAGGCTGACACTTATAACTGCATACACATTCATTTAGTACTTAAGTTGTGCCTGTTCCAAGTATCCACAATTCCCACAATATGATGAATAGCCCAACTCCCCATATATGCCTGTTAGTGGTGGGGAAACTATTTTCTGCCAAGGGCCATTAAGATATTTAAGCCAGGCGCCGACACAGGTGGCTCACGCCTGCAATCCTAGCTACTCAGGAGGCTGAGATCTGAGGATCGAGGTTCAAAGCCAGCCCGTGCAGGAAAGTCCATGAGACTCTTATCTCCCTCCAATAAACCACTTGAAAACCGGAAGTGGCGCTGTGGCTCAAGCGGTAGAGTGCTCGCCTTGAGCTGAAGAGCACAAGGACAGAGCCCAAGCCCAGAGTTCAAGCCCCTCCATGGACAAAAAAAAAAAAAAAGATTTATAGCAGCATTTATGGACCAAAAAAATCATGAATACAGGCAGAAGGGCCACCAGCACTGAGGAGAAGCATATTTGTCTCTCCAGTCATGTACCAAATGACTTTGCAGGCCTTAAACAAACAGTAGGCTGGATGTACCCCAACCCTTAAACTTCAAAACTTCAATTCAGGGATTAAGTCCTGAGATCCTTATTTCATAAATTTCTATGTAAAATTATAAATCAAGCTGCCAACTTACCTTAAGCCTAATAAAGTTTATTAGTTTAATGTATCCATAAAAGTCAAGTCCTAAGTAGGAAGAAAAAAAAAGACATCTATTTTAATGGGAGTTTTATTTAACTGACTTGATCTATAAATGGTCCTCTGATTAGATAGTATCTAATCTCTAAACTACCACTTATACTTTGAATTTTGTATTAGGAACTGGAAATACTTCTGAATATTTGATACTTCTGAATATTATCTAAATTTTTTTATTATTGTAAAGGTGATGTACAGAGGGGTTACAGTTACATAAGCCAGGTAAAAAGTACATTCTTTTTTGGACATTACCTTGCTCTCTTCCTATACCAGTAGCTCTCTTTTCCCTCCAGTCCCTACCCACAAGTTATGTAGTTCATTTTCAAGATAGTATCTACTGAGTACCACTGCTTCATTTGTTCACCCACTTCTAAATATTTTTATCTGAAAAACAGCCCTAGATGATAAACTTTAAGTACTTTCTTGTATTTCTAAGTACTTTTCTTGTATTTCTAAAAAAGAACATAAAAAAGAAATTTGCACAATTATTTTTCCATTGTCAGAATAATACACAGCCTGATGATTAGATAATAAATTTTACCAAGTAATTCGCAATTAATATTAGAACTGAGATGTTACAAATCCGTAATATTTATGGTGCTTACCAAATTATTATTCTGCCACGACATAAGTATACAAAGTTTGCTAACTTTACCATGAAGTTAAATGATGCAAATGAAAAAATAATGAGGCTTTTTATCTGTTCTATCTTGCCAAAAAATGAAGCAGCATTTAAGTTAAAGAAGAGCAATCATGGAAGTGGCGCTGTGGCTCAAATGATAGAGTGCTAGCCTTGAGCTGAAGAGCTGAGGGACAATGCCTAGGCCCCACGACTGACAAAAAAAGAGAGCAATCATATAATGGCTATTATTTGTTATTGGACAAACTGGTTGTTTGCCATCACAGGAAATTGATAATTACTGAAAAATAATGTTATGAAGCTTTGATAGCATATTAAAAACCCTAATATTAATAAGTTAAAAAAAAAGTAGTATTCCAATTCACTTTAAAATGCAACATCAGTAATGGAAGAAAAGCTGAGGCTGTATGTACATCATTCACAAATGGTTACACTTGAATTTGACTTATAAACATAAAAAGTATTGGGCTGAGGCAGTACTGGGGCTTGAACTCAAGGCCTACGTATTGTCCCTTAGCTTTTTCACTCAAGGCTAGCATTCTACTACTAGAACCACAGGTCCTCTTTCAGCTTTTTGCTGGCTAATTGCAGATAAGAATCTCATGGACTTTCCTGCCCAGACTGGTTTTGAATCTCTATCCTCAGATCTCACCCTCCTGAGTATCTAGGATTATACATGTGAGCCACCAGTGCCTGACTTAATGTACTTGAGACCTAAACATGTGTCCAACAGCTGTGAATAACCAAGTTGCTATTTCTCAACAATGTCACTTACAGTTTTTAATAAAAATAGGGACCAAAAACTCAATTCTGTATTTTCTGTATCTTCCTGAAGAAGTGGAACTCTGTAAGTCTAAGAAATGTCTAAATGCAAGTCAACAGAAACATCAGTTGAATATTTTGTAACTACCTTAACTTCACAACTTCATTTTCCATACTTTTTAATAAACATATAAAACTCAATCTCATAGGCCTTAATGTTAATATTCTACTTTGTCCTGATTGCCTGTCTTCTTTCAAAATGACCTATATCTGCTTTCTGAAGTCCTTGATCTTCTGATTCTAATAGGATGATAATGTATTCATATGCCAAGCAGGTTTTTCTCTTTTTAATTGTAAAACCGTTATAAGTATATTGAACTTCATCTAGATGAATGACTGAATCTTTCTTCAAAAGACATTTCCATGAGGTAAGCTGCTGCTCTGTTTACTATATTAGACTAGTACCAGAAAGTGTCTTTTACTTTCACAAGTAAAACTGTCTTTATTCTGAGAAATACTCACCATGCTTATGGACCATGCTGTCTATATTAAATTGATGCTCTGTCTTACAGTGTGAAAATGTTTCTTCAGCAGATGTGAATAACCTGAAAAAAAAAAACATACAGCTTCATGGAATAGTCTCCCAGGAAGTCTAAACACTGATTTCATATTATATATACAATTGAATTGTTAATCAGCTAGTTTTTAGTTTTGTTTCCAATTTTATTCTACTCAGGAATTAAAGAACAGAGAGCTTAGCCCTTCTGAGAAGTAGTACATCTGAGTTTCATTCAACACCTAAAACAAAATGAACTATCTTTTAAATGTCTAAGTTAACATATCTGTCAAACAAAAAGCACTGTATTTATCCAAAGGTTTTCAGTACAGAGAGCTCCCTTGGATAGACTTTGTTTCTCCCAAACCAAACCACGCAAATTTCCTACTTGAGATTCTTTCACCGGTGTCATCTCTTCTTTCAGTGGATTTTTGAACTGGCACAGCTCAAAAGCTTTTAAAATATAAAATGTAATTCTATGGTTGGCATATCCCACAGGAGCAGTTTTTCACAAGTGATCCTGTAGTGTTCTCACAGGACTTGAATTACAGACATTGTGAAGAGTTCAAGACACACAAGACAGGAATACACAGCAGAGGCACCGAAGTCCTCTTCTGTATGCCTTGCAAAGACAGTAGTTTCAGCAAACGTTTGCCAAGACAGGTTACTGCAGTATTTATGAAGCCTGATGTCAATAAATACTACTTTCTGTTAATTCGAGTAGGGGCAGTCATTTTCCCTCCACTGAGGCTACATGTGAGAACACTGGATATAAGGCTAATGCGCATCATGACCAGGTATGGGGACACTGGAAGATGCTTAATAAAGTACGAAGGATCAATATCAATCAGGCCTCAAGAAGCACAGCAGCCAAAGTTTTTTGAGACTAAGAGGCAGACTTTTAAGTGGAAAGAAGGACTGGGGAAATGAACCACAGCTTTGTGACCTTGAACAATTGAACGACATTGCAGCCTTTTTTTTTTTTTCCCGAGTGCAAAAAGGCATCCGGGCGTCCATTCCTTCAACAGGTGGGAGGGCCTCTACTAAAATTACAAAGGATGACTAAGGGGCTCCAAATGGAACTAGTACACCTGAACAGCTACAATGTTACCGTTTGGAGCAGGTCCACGGCTCAGACTCTGGGGCGGTACAGGTGGAATGGCTCTCTGGGGTCACCTAGTTCGACGTGACTCCCAGACTCGTTACTCAAGGAGCTTAGAATCACTTGAGTGGCTGTGTAAAAACTGCAGTCCTAGATTCCAGTGGTGCGAATTCTGTGTCTGTGTTCCTTTTTTTTAAGCAGCTCAGGTAACAAGGGTCATCTCGGAACCCAAGAGCGAATCCCAAACCAGCTCATCATCTTACACAAGGGAAACTGAGGCCGGTCTGAAGCTTGGCTTCCGGTTCATGGCTCCTCCTCCTCCTAAACGACTGTGGACTATCTCAACACAAGCCACCCCCCCCCCCCCGACAACTGGTTCAGGAAGGAGGAGGGGCAGCTCACTCTAGGGGGTCCATTCCTGGCAGATCGGGACCCCCCCACCCCACCCCAGCGGCCAGGCACCCCAAGAGTGAGGCCGGGCGCCCAGGCGGACGAACCTGTCACAGAACAGGCATGGGGTCTGCGGCCTGTCGTGGGGGAGCTCGGCCTCGTCCTCGTCCTCCCAGGCGGCCTCGTCACCGCTGTCTGACAGCTCGGGCAGATCCTCGTCCTCCTCCACGGCGCCCCGGCCGCCTACCACACGCAAAACAGTAAGGTGTGCCTGCGACCCCGGGCACGACCGGAGGGGGCGTGGGGCGGGCGCACCCCCCCGCCCGCCCGCCCGCCCGCCCGCCCGCCGTCCCGCGCGCCCGCCGCCCTCGCCCCACCGCCCAGCCTGCGCGCAGGGCAGCGCCGGCCACGCGGCCCGGCCTGCGCCCGCGCAAGCCGGGGGCCCAGCGGCCGCGTACCCACCCGTAGCGCCCGACGCTAAGGAGCACATGGCTGCGGTGCCCGAACACCCCGCGTGCCCGGGAAGGGGGAGGGAGGGGCGGGGCCCAGCCGGCAGCGCGCGCGCGCAGCCTCTGCCGCCAAGCTCGGCACCCGGAGGAGGGAGAGCCCGGGAACGAGCGAGCGAGGGAGCGCGCGTGCGCGCCACCAGCCCCGGAACCGCGCGGATGCCTGGGAACCGGAGAGCGCGCGCTCGGGCACGCCCGCTAGCGAGCGTTTCCGGGATCTTGGGGGGGGGCGGGGGGAAACTGGGGGTGGTCACGTGAGGATGGTGTGGGCGGGGCGGCGCTCCTGCCCCGCCTCCTCCAGACTGGATTGCCGCGGTACACGCGGGAGGCGCGCTGCGGGGACTGCTGGCCCCGGACAGGCTTGGAGGTGACTTTTTCTCTCCTCCTCGGTTTTAGAAGGGCTAAGTAGAAAGTGCCAGCCAGAAACCGTGAGCCTGACGGTGAAGAGGCTTCGCTGTGACCTCCGTGTGGCCCTGGTTCCGAGGGAGAACGCTGGGAGGCCCAGGGCGACCGGCTGGGTGCGCCCTCTGGTGGCGGAGAGGAGGCCAACGCAGGCAGGCGTGGCGCTTGAGTTGAGGGTTGAGGTCCCCTCGTCCCTCTGCAGGTGCCGGTGAGCAGGGGGAACCGAGTCCAGCTACTTTACCTGTACGTTATCACTGCGGATGCACTGTAAAGCCCAGATGGGGCCACACCCGGGAAAATCTGATGTGAGAGCATGGAACTCTAGAGCCAGCCTAGAGGGTTTGAAGCCGCAGAAGCTTTCTGATTGTGTGATCTTAAAAGATTCCTGCCTTGGCTTCCCTCATCTGCAAAACGGGGATAATGCCTGCCCTCACTTGAGGGCCATGGTGAGGATAAAATGTGCTAAGTGTTAACTCTCCGAGTAGGTTAGGTTATTTATAGGCGGGGTGATACTGTCGGGTGTGTTTGAAACAGATGTTCTGGCTGAGTGTGGGGAAGAATGCCAAGGTTCCTACACCTCCGAATACCTCCCTTCTAATATTCCTGATATCTAACCGTAGAATTCTCTTATGCGGAGGGCAACAGGTATTTTGGTTGGGACCATCCCAAGCTTCAGCCCAAAAGACAAGACTGCTTGGCATGCACAATCCAGACATTACAACCCAACCCAACCCTTCACCACTCATCCCACCCCCAATCCTTTCTGTGAATCATTGAAATTGAATGTTCTCTCTACAAATGTGTAGGGCCTCCCTTTAGTCTCAGCCCAGAAAGGCTTTCGTCCAGCCACCATGTCAAAAACAGCTTCCCCTACTAGAACAGGGGTAGTCACTTTCTTTCTTAGCACCTATCACTAAGATTAAAGACCATGTCTCTAATTACTCTGGCACATATTACACAGCATGATCCATAGGATAAATTCGCTGAATAGAAATAATGCCTTATGACGGCTAAACTTTTAAAATATACTCCTTTGCCTTAACTGTAACTCTAACCCTTAACTGTAAACTCCTAGAGGACATATCCTCTCCCCACACATGTACACACACATACACACCTAATATGCCAGAATATCTGTTGCCTCCTGTAGGGTAAACTTTTCAGGACAATCCTGATGTATCCACAGGATACATTCATGAACCATTTGCTGAATGAATTAATGAATTGAAATTCTGTCTTCACCTGGACCCCATCCAACTTTCCTCTTCATATTTCTTGCATAAACTTTTCCTCTCAAAATCCACTTCTCTACAGCATTTGGAAGGAACCTTCTGAATCTCAATGGCACCTGTTCAGTGTTGACAGGGATAGTAATACCTAGTCAGGAAAGTGATTGGATCAGAATCTTGAGTTTACATCTCATGACATGCAGGTTGTGGGACTGGGTTGCTTTTCTATTACTCCACTAATAAGACCAAAATAGAATGTTAACCAAGTCTTGCAAGAAGGATTGAGAGAAAGAAGGTGATACAGAGAACAACTTAAAGCTGGCTACTGAGAATGGCTGCCTTTGGGGCCCACAAACTCAGCATATCCTCATGGGAACTCCAAAGGCTGCCTCACATCTGGGAGCTCAGGCCTATTACCACAGAAACACATCTAGGCTCTTCAAAGTTTGGCCAAAAGGGAACCCCAATGACCTACCTACCTTTCTTTCTTTCTTTTTTTTTTTTTGCCAGTCCTGGGGCTTGAACTCAGGGCCTGAGCACTGTCCCTGAGCCTCTCTGTGCTCAGGGCTAACACTCTACTACTTGAGCCACAGCACCACTTCTGGCTTTTTCTGTTTATGTGCTACTGAGGTTTGATAACCCAGGGTTTCATGCATGCTAGGCAAGCATTCTACCACTAAGCTACATTCCCAGCCCCATTCTACCTATTTTTAAAAAAAATATATTCAAGGTCTTACTTTGTAGTATGGATTGGCCTTGAAGTTGGGATTTTCTTGCTTCCTGCCTCAGCCTTCTGAGTGCTGGGATTCCATTCCACTGTGCTCTGTCTTTCTCCTTAAAGCACATGTTCTAAGATATTATTCTGCTCCAAATGATTCATCTAGAGCCCCCCTTTTAAAAGGAAGGTCTTTTTACCCCAATATCCACTGAATCTTTACATGTACTGTAGACTCTTAAAAATGGACACAATCTCCAGGTGCTGGTGGCTCACACCTGTAATCCTAGCTACTTAGGCTGAGATCTGAGGATTGAGGTTCCAAGCTAGCCTGGGCAGGAAAGTCCATGAGACTCTTATCTCCAATAAACCACTAGAAAACTGGAAGTGGCACTATGGCTCAAGCGCTCTCCTTAAGCTGAAGAGTACAGGGACAGCACCCAAGCCCAGAGTTCAAGCCCATGACCGACAAAAAAATAAAAAATAAAAAAGGACAGAATCAACTGGGCACTAGTGGCTCACACCTGTAATCATCGCTACCCAAGAGGCTAGGATCTGAGGATCACATCAAAATCAATCTAGACCAAAAAGTCCCCATGAGTCTCCAATTTACCACTCAAAAACCAGAAGTGGCACTGTGGCTTAAAGTGGTAGAGCGCTAGCCTTGAACAAAAGAGCTCAGAGACAGTGCCCAGGCCCTGAGTTCAAGCCCCACGACCAAAAAAAAATCACTCAAAATACTTAACTTCCATCAGCAAAGAAATTAAGATATTTTCTCCACTAACCTTTGTCCCATTATAGAAATGGGCATATCCCCTGCTCCTCTTACCTTTTGTTCCTGCTGCATCTTCTACTTTGTGGTATTAGAAGTATAGCACTTTGAGTTTGATCCCTTTAGAAAGTTTGGTGTCACAGAATTTTATGTGAATACCACTGTGGTTAATTGTAAGAATCCAAGACTAATGGAGAAACCAACATTTCAATTTTATTCATCTACAACATTCAATAACAATTAATTAGAACTACCTGGAAAGACACAGATGGAGGTCGGCTTTTGCAGAGTGGTTAAAAATACAACCTCTGAGCTGGGTGCTGGTGGCTCACACTTGTAATCCTAGTTACTCAGAAGGCTGAGATCTGAAGATCACGGTTTGAAGCCAACCTGGGCAGCAAAGTTCATGAGACTCTTATTGCCAATTATTCACAGAAAAAGCCGTAAGTTGTGCCATAGCTCAAGTGGTAAAATGCTAGCCTTGAGCAAAAGGAACTCAAGGACAGTGTCCAGGCCCAGAGTTCAAGCCCTAGAACTGGCAAAAATATATATATATATAACCTCTGAAATCAGGGCAGGAGATGGGGGAGCAACTAGAGTAGAAACTTGACCTTGCCATTTGTTAGCTTCAGGTCTTAAGTTGTGGACCCATGAGCAAGGTGCTTAGACACAGTCAGGCTCAGTTTCCCCATCTAAGATATGAGGGGTTAAAAAAAAGAATAATTTTAAAAGAAAAAGTATAACAGATATAAGAATATTGAGAGAATCACTTTATGAAGTTGGCTAGAGGATTAAAGTGAGGTAACACACACTGGACAGAGCTTTCCAAGCACTGGCTAGGGACTAGCTGCTGTTCTATCATCCCATATTGACCAAATGTTTGCAAATCACCATTAGTATTTCCACATTTTTGAACCAACTCAGCAGCACCTAGGATTGGTCTGTTTGTTTTTATTCCTCTGCTTCTCCCCATGAATTATATATGCCTGCTATGTTAATTTTTACTAGATAAAACAGTAGTAGATAAAACTAGATAAAACTGTATTCACTTACACAGTTACATAGAGTTAGCGTTTACTGGAATGTCAACAGTTATAAAACAGCACTCATCTGTGTGGCACATCAGAGTTATCAGTTCTGACTGTGGCCTTGTGTTAACCAGCTGGTTTCTTCCTCACCAATGGCATCAGAACCACCAGGGGAAGTGCAAACAAAACTAAAGATTCCCAATAGTGGCCACAGCCTAAAACGTCTGATTCACAATGTTTGATATATAAATGCCTATTTTTCAAAAGCTCCCTGAGTGATTTCCATGTAGGAACAGGCTAGGGGAGGGGCCGGGGAGAAAACAACCCAGAAACCCAGGCTGAGTGGAGTCCTGACTTGTTTCCATCTGCAGAGCTGAGAAAGTAAAATGACAGAGGTAGAGCACATAGACTCATTTCTAGACCCAGATGTTACCAATTTGGTAACAAGTGTTGAGGTTTTCAGTAAACAGCACTCCTTCAGTGTGATCACAGCTTGAGAGGGCCATCCGCTTTCCCTAAGTCATGGATGGCCTTGTTTTCCAGAAGCTCCTTCTGCTTGTCTCCGGGCCTCACCATGTTGTTCAGCATTGCTTTAGCCACCGTCTCCACAGGTACAGAGTGCCCGCTGGCCCAAGAGGCTGGTAAGGCACCAAAGAATTTCCTAACCAACCATTCCGCTGGACGAGATTCTTGTCTATCACATAACAGGACTCTAAACAGAGAAAGAAAAGCAAAGGAAGAAATGGTAACTTGCCTTCACACCATGGTAGGTGTTACCAACTGTATTTCGTCCCATCAAACTTTGTATGTTAGCCGGGTGCCAGTGGCTCACACCTGTAATCCTAGCTACTCTGTAGGCTGAGATCTGAGGATCATGGTTCAAAGCCAGCCTGGGCAGGAAAGTCCATGAGGCTCTTATATACTCCAGTTAACCACCAGAAAACCAGAAGTGGTGGTGCTGTGGCTCAAGTAGTAGAGGGCTCACCTTAACCTGAAGAGCTCAAGGACAGTGCCCAGTCCCAGAGTTCGAGCCTCAGACTAAAAACTAAAATAAAAAAATAAAAGTGTGGGGCTGAGATGTAGCTTATTGGCAAAGTGCTTGCCTAGCAAGTGCAAACCCTAGGTTCGATCCCCAGTGCCAAAGCCAAACAAACAAAAAAAACCTATTGCATGTTGAAATCCTATCCCCTAATATGACTGATCTGGAGACTGGCATTTGGGGACCTGATTAGGCTGAAAGAAGTCTTATGGATGGGATAGGGTCGATCAGATAGGCATCCTTTTAAGAAAAAAAGGAGACCTCAGACATCTCTTTCTGCACAACATACAAAACAAAGTCCATGTGGGGCCACAGCAAGAAGGTGCCCACCTCTGCCAGCTGAGAAGGGAGACCTCACTAGATACCAACCCTGAAAGCACCTTAATCCCAGACTTCCAAATCCCAGACTTTGAGAAAGAAACAGAAGTAAGTTTCTGTTGTCAAAGCCACCTCTGGCTGAGATACTGTGCTGTAGAGTCCAATCAGACTAATGCTGGGAGCATAAGGTTTAATTTGAGACATAAGGAAGATTTTCATACTAAAATAAAATAAAAAATAGGACTGGGAGTGGAGCTTGTAAATTCCTGTCCAGTTAGAAGGTAGACAGGTATGGACATTAGATAGGCAGGCTTTTTACTTCTTTAGCCAAGAGGTAGGGAAGTGTCTGTGCAGAGCCTGCATGGCCCAGGGCAGAACTTACAAAGCTCCTTGTGGTAGAGCACTCACCAAGCAAGGATGAGGCCCTGAGTTTAATTCTCAGTAACACAAAAAAATAAATAATAAGTGCATGAAGTGCAATGCAATGAAATAAATGGAGAAAGTGAAATGAAATAAACATTATAGTTGCTACCTAGGAAGTTTCTGATTATTCTGAAACTGGTCCCTTATCCTGTCTTTCAGATTCAAAGGGTGGAACCTACAGAGAAGCAATCTACCCCCAGCCTATGTCTTTCCTAGCTTAGGTATTTTAGCTATCAGTCTCTTCAAATGAATTGGCTTGAGGGACTGACCAACCGTGGCACACTTACCCTGGTCTAAATACTGAGTAACGATCAAATTTTAGTTCTTCAACCTTGGCTTCCACTTCTCCCTGTTGAGAAAACACAGACAAATACACAAACACACACACAGTGTTTATTAAGACTGATTAGGTGAAGCTTTAGAGAAAAATTCAGATTTGAAGATCTGCTTCTGCAGATCCCAATCTGGTTTTTGCTTTTCATTTTTTGTTTTTTTTGTCAGTTGTAGGGCCTGGGCACTGTCCTTGAGCCTCTTTGTGCTCAAGGCTAGCACTCTACCACTTGAGCCACAGGGCCACTTCCAATTTTTGAATGGTTAACTAGAGATAAGAGTGTCATAAGGACTTTTCTGTCCGGGCTGAGTAGCTAGGATTATTGGTGTGAGCCACCGGTGCCCGGCAGGTCTCAAGTTTATAAATATCCTTACCTATGAGCTTTGATTCCTAAGATACCCAGGTGCTGTGCGGGTCCTTGTACTTGTGTCAGTGACAAAAGCTAGTCATTACTTAATGCCTTACAGGCCAGGCTGTAGAATGAGGCTGCCTGGATTCAGATCCCAGCCCTGCCACTCACCAGTTAATATCACAATACTCAGTTTCCACAAAAATGCATGTAAAAGCCTTTAAAATGCTACTTAGAGAAATTAATGTTAGCTATTTTAAGTCTGATGAATCATTATTATAACTGAACAACAGTAGTAGTTCCTTTATCTTTGCAGGTGAATACAATATGCATTTTCTTTCATAAAAGATCTAATTGTTTACCTTGCCAGTGAGAAGAAAAATAAAATTCCACTTGACAAATCTTTCTCAGAACCCAAATGTATTCTGAAACACAGACCAACTCCCCCACCCCCGACCTCACCCATGAAATTTAGGATTCTTAACAATTAAACTGAAACTTTTCTTTTTTTTTTTTTTTTTAATATAATTTTATTTGTGAACATACTGTACAGGGGAGTTACAGTTACATGGGCAGGATAATGCGTACATTTCTTACCAAGCACTGCAGCCTCCTCCTTTGTTTACCCTTCACATCCCTTCCCAGCCTCCCCCCTCCCCTAAACTGAAACTTTTCTTGATATAACTTTATTGGTGGCTCACTGATCTTTATCTTCCCCAAAATATGTTAGATTAGAAGAGCTATGGCTTAGCTGCAAGCCACAGGAAAGGGTTCTGGAAATGTTCATTATCCAAAACTGGTCTCAAGAAAACACAATGCTAGCCAGGCACTGGTGGCTCACACCTGTAATCCTAGCTACTCAGGAGGCTGAGATCTGAGGATCGAGGTTCAAAGCCAGCCCGGGCAGGAAAGTCTGTGAAACTCTTATCTCCCATAAACACTCAGAAAAACCAGAAGTGGCGCTGTAGCTCAAGTGGTAGAGAGCTCGCCTTGAGCTGAAGAGCTGAGGGACAGCCCACTTGGGCCCAGAGTTCAAGCCCCACGACCGACAAAAAAATAAAAAGAAAAAAAGGAAGAAAGAAAACACAATGCTAACCATTTTTGAAAACACAATGGTAACAATCTTCTATTTCTCTTAAACACACACACACACACACCACAATGTCAGAGAATGAAAAGAAAGTCCTGCTATGATCCCACTCAGCAATGACCAGGGTGATGAAGGGGACAGAGATAAGAGCCAATAAAAAATGGTGGAAAGAAGGCATTATTTATGGGGGGAAAAATACAATGTAGGCAAGTATCGAAAAAGCCTACAGGGCAAAGAAGAGACTGGTCTTGCTTCTGTTATGCTTGCCTTGCATGCATGAGGCCCTGGATTCAATTCCTCAGCATCACATAAGCAGAAAAAGCCTGAAGTGGCGCTGTGGTTCAAGTGGTAGAGCACTAGCCTTGAGCTGAAGAGCTGACTGAGGGACAGCGCCCAGGCCCAGAGTTCAGACCCCACAACTGACAAAAAAATAAGTAATAAATAAAAATTTTTAAAATGTACCACTAATGATAATTAGCACTTATAATGCAGTCCATTTTGCCTCAAGGTAGGCATATGTTTGATAGGTGGATCTGAACCCAGAGGAGGACTTTTTGGATAAGGGATTAGGTAAGGAGATAGTACATGCTTTCAGGCTAGAGTTTTGCTCTTAAGCTAAAGTTAGAAGAACCTGTGAAAAAAAAAGCATTTCACACTCAACAGCCTTGAACTAAATACCTTCTGGGACTAAGAAAAAGCCAGGACCTATTTGAATTCAATTCTACTTGAAGGTTAGGAAATGGAAACTTTAAGATAAAAGAGAAAAACAAATATGCATAAACACAAGACTTTTAGGAAAGTTGAGCTTGTTATTAAAAGTAGACTGCTTCAGGCTAACTGTCCCTAAAGCTCTAGAAAAGTAAAAGTTCCAGATTCTTGGCCATGAGGGAAACTGCTAGAGAAGTTTAAGAATCACTGTCCCAGGGGCGCTGGTAGCTCACACCTGTAATCCTAGCTACCCAGGAGACAGAGATCTGAGGATCACGGTTTAAAGCTGGCCCAGGTGGCAGGAGTCTGTGAGACATTTCATTTCAATTAACCATTAGAAAATTGGAAAGAGGAGCCATGATTCAAAATGGTAGAGTGCTCACTCACTTTGAGCTAAAAGAGCTCAGGGACAGTGCCCAGGCCCTGAGTTCCAGCTCCACGACAAACAAACAAAAACCTTACTGCCCTATGTCTCTCCAAAGCTGGAAAGCCTTGCCAACACTCAAGGCCAGAGCAGCCACCGCTCCTTCCACTGACTTTATCAACTAATGAATAGAGGGCAGGTATTGCAAATTGTCTTTCCAATTGCTCCGAGTCCCTAAATATATTCCTGCAAAACAGTAAGTCCTCGTGAGTAATGAAAAGTGCATAAATTGTGCATTTAATTCTTTGTTGTATAGCATATAGTTTTCTGTCTAGCATATAGTTTTCTGTTGAGCATTTAGTACTGCCAGTTAGTCCAGGGTTTATGTAAGAAACACACACAAACCTTAACTTGTAAGTATAAAAAATTGCTGGATTTGTCAGCTCCTCTGGAGGACAGCAGGTTGAAATGTTTGCAACCTCCAGCTTTTGCCAGCTCTGCAGACTTCAGCACATAATCCCGGTCAACGCGAACAAATCCCTCCTGAGGGGGAAAAGGATGTGAGTTATTTCCAGTAGCTGTGAGTTCATCTTACAGATTGCTACCTGGCTACTGCCTGGTGGCAGGAGGGCCTGGGAGGGAAGGGGGATCTAAATAAAATGCATTCAAGCAATACATGAAAGTCAGTCTCAGACCCTGAGAGAGGCTCCAAGTATTGTCTTCCAAACAGACAAAACAGTTAAGCAGCAAGGCTGCACTGTAACGAAAACAAGGAGAGTAAGACTGAAACAAAGACAGTAAACAAATCCATAAGAAGCAAAGTAAGACCAGGCTGGGAAACTGCTTACATCACACATTTCTTTGTTCTTCTCCCTGTCCCAGTGATGGATCAAACCTAGGGACTCATGCATGCTAAGTAAGCACCTGGTACTCCACCACTAAGCCACATGTGCAGCCCATTTGTTTGACTTTTAATCATTTCCCAACTTTACACCCTCACTCTGTTTTCTTTCTTACTTTTTTGGGCAGTACTGGGCTTTGAACTCTGGGCCACATGCTTGTTAGGCAAGAGCTCTATCACCTGAGGCGAGTCTACAGCAGCCTCTCTTTTTTTCTCTTTATGTTTCCTGTGTCAACTCTACTAGGGTTGGGTCTTAAAGTACAACTCAGGACACTCTCCAGGCACTATGAGAAGGGTCCATTTGATTTCCCATTTTGTTCAGGCTTTACAACGTATTTTAGATGTTAGTAAAGATGAAGCTTCACCTTTTCTTTAAAAAACGATAGGTGTATAAACGAAAAGTGTAAACAAAAATGATCTAGACTTGGTCCAGTGTGGATGGTGGCTGAGACTTTCTTCTTAATTCACGTCACAGCATCAGCACATGTCCAGCACATGGTTGGTGTTCTAAACATATTTGAACAAATGAATAAAAAGCACAACACAACACATTTCTGGGTCCTAATTGAATGGTATATGCCTTTGCCCAGAAAAGGACAAAGGTAGTTTAGTACCAACTCCGTGGGACCACCACCAATTATGGCACCTCCAAATTTAAGACAACTTAAGAAAAGCTAGTTCACAAAAGCTGAAAGTCACCATTATATGATAAGGTCTTTTTGTGGGTAGATTCAAATCTGAAGATTGCTACTCAAAGGACTTTAGGGGGTTTTTGTGGTGGTACTAGGGGTGAAACTCAAGACCTTATGCTTGCTAAGCAGGTGCTCTACCACTTAAATCATGCCTCACCAGCCCTTTTGACTTTATTTTGGAGGCAGGGTCTCATGTTTTCACCCAGACAGGCCTAGATTGTGATCCTCCAATTGAAACCTCCCATGTAGCTGGGATGACAGTCATGTGCCACCATCACACCCAACTACTTTCTGAGATGAGTATCTTACTATTTGCCAATCCTGACCTCTGACCACAATCCTCCAGATCTCTGCCTGACAAGTAACTAGGATGGCAGGCATCAGCCACTGTGCTGGGTTCCAAAGAACTTTTAATAATTCTTTCTGTAGTAGTTTACTTATTTCAAATATCTTGTATGATATGGTCGTATGTAACTTTTATCTTTTTATATAGATGAAAATAAGGTCCAGTAGTCTCAGGAGCTGCTAGGTAGGGAATTAGAGACAGAAAACAGTTTCTTGTCTGAGTAAGTGGTACTCCTATCTCATAGTTTCTATAGCTAATGAAAATAACTGGTCCCTAACCTGACAGACAGACTATTGGTCTTTCAATTCTATGTCCAAATCCCCCTACCTGGGTGTATGTTACATTACATGGCTGCAGATGTCCATAAGGGTACTAAACAGTGGGCCTTAAAATAGCGAGATTATTCTAGTTTATAACAGGGCTCAATGTAAGCAATCATAAGGGCTGTTGGAAGTGGGAAGCAGCAGTGAATTTAGAGGTATGCAATATGAAAAGGGTACTTCCATTTCCAACCTCCCAAATTGCTAGCCTTGAAGATGGAAGGAAGACAATCATGAACCAAAGTCCGTGCCACCTAGAAATGTAAGGATATGAATTCTCCTTTATCACCTCCCAGAAGAAATATCAACACCTCAATTTTTACCTCAGTAAAACTTCTAACCGATAGAACTATAAGATAATAAATTTGGGTTGTTTCGAACTACTAAATATGAGGTCATTTGGATAAGCATTAAAAACTATTGCCAAATTCAAAGGATAGGACAAAGTAAACGTTTTTCAAGTTCAAAGTCAGAAACAAAAAAAAAAACTTTAAGTAAAAGAAAATGTGTAGAGAACACATAGCTGGGTGACTTCATTAACTGAACTTCCTCCGTGAGCACTTCCCAGCTGAAGAAACAGAACATGAATTACCAGGTACTACTAGAAAAGTGTCCCCTTCTCCTCCTCTATCACTCCAGTATAGTTTAACTCTCTCCTCACCTGTGGGGAAATGCTATTTTTCTGCCCAACTTTAGTTAACAGAAACTCATCTCATTGCCCACAACTCATCATTAGTTTCTTCTTGTTGCATACCTTGGCATCCAGTATTAAACATTCATATTCCTGTTGATGCTGTTTAAAATTAGTGTGAGGCAAAGCAATTTTAACACATAGCACATCCTGAGAGAGAGAAAGGTGATTCGCATCAGAGCTTTTCTCCAAATTTTTATTTAGATGTGCTGAAAACGTAACACACACACACACAAACAAAACTACACAGTAAAAATTTGAACTGAATTTCCCTTTCACATCCGTTTCTTCATTTCACTCCAATTAAAGCCTGCTTTAATAAGTGACCAGTTGATACAATAAAATAGTTTAGTGAAATACATTTTTTTCTTGTTGTGTCAGCATAATTGCTTGGAAAGATTATTGGACTTCTCTCTGTTAAAATGCCTTTTTTTTTTTCCTTTCAGCAGCTTCTTTAAAAATAAGGCAAAGATGCAGCCAATCACAAGCCTCCAGCCCGACGCTCTCTCTCACTTAATCCAGAGGCAAGAGAGGGATAATTTGATTAAACTAAGACCCTAATTTATTTGGCTTTAGTTCTGGATCAACCTCTCTAATAGAGTGCTGTCGTCTCCAATTGTTTGATGAAAATTAAAGTGACATAAATACCATGGGACTCTTTCAATCTGATTAGTCAGCGAAGGCACATCAATACCACCCCAGCCATCAGACTCTGGCGTCCTTCCTTTCACCAGCTTCGCTGGCAACTGACAACCGCTCCTTGAAGGACCAGCACCCACGCTGCTCCACAGACCCCTGCCCCCAGCCCATCATCCCTGCTCAAAGGGGCCTGTTGACAAGGTGCCCATACCTTTCTCCATTGCTATTCTTTAGACAAAGCTAAATATTGTTTTATTAGCAATCAATAGCTGTTAATCCAAAATGATTTCACAAATCCTCTGAGACTTCAAGCTGATTATAAACCTGCATTTTTCCAAGCTCACTAAATTTTAAATTTCATTTCCTTCACCCTGATGGCATGGCCTTTTCAGTTGGTGAATGAAACTCAAAAGCAAACAGGTCAAGTGCTTTCAAGGACTTAGAAATCTAACTGAAGGGAGGATTCTGGTGACTGATTAGGCAATACCAACGTGCACCGGTTTGTTTTGGAATGAGAAACGGTCTACTTGTATATGGAAGAAGCTAGCTTAAAACTCTTATTAATTCCCTTTCTTGTTCCCCAACAGCTCAAATTTAAAAAAAAAATAGAAAAACAAACTAAAATAAGCTATTCTATATCCCAGAAACGCCTTTTTCAGAAAAAACTAACCATACATCAAGAGTAAAGCCAGCTATCTCTTCTCGAATTACTGTCTATTGTCAGAACTCCTAGAAAAAGGATTCGATAAGTTCTCACCTTAAGTTTATTTTGCAAGGCCTACCAAAATAATACGTACAGCTAAGCTGACATATCCTCACTCAGTGGGCTCCACAAACATCAACGAAGACAGATGTTCTTATTTTGAATCTTATTAAAACTGAAAGCCAGTATTTCTCCTTGTCTAATTTACCAATACCTGAAAACTAGCTATAATACTATGGCTGAAGACTAACTTGGGCTACAAAGGTATTTCAGAGGAGAGAGCCTGTGTAGAAGGACTAAAGAAGGTCACAGGGTCCTTTTCTGAGAAGGAAGGATCTGTCATTCTGTCAGTGGTCTCAACCATAATTCTACTTCAGGTTCTTTCTCCTTCATTCCCTTTTGAAATGAACCTAAATCAGGGCAGAAAACACAGATGCTGACACACAATAAATGGTATGATCCGACACCCTATTTGTTTGTGTCCTGGAGGGCATTTTTTATATTTGACATGTGGAGGTAGAAGAAAGATTGTACGCAGAGAAAGAACTCTGAATAGAAAAATAAAATCAAACCAATATTAAGGATTCCTCTGTCATTCACTAATTTTTTTTGTTCTCTTCTATAGGGTCAAAGAATTTTGCAGTTGGAAGGGGGGTACAGTAGTCCAAATAAGGAAGTGACCCACAAAAGCTAACCGACACACCCAGGGTTCTACCATTCCTTGATTTCCAAACAAGAAATCATTCATCACGCCTCCCCCCTAACACATACATCAAATCAAACTATGGAGGATAGAATGGAGGTTGGAAAACTTTGCCTTTGCAGGACAAGCCTATTAAATATTGTCAGCTGTGCAGTAGAGACTGCATCTCCATAGATATACCATTATAGCACAAAGTTGTCATAGATAGTATGGAGAGAAAATAATAAGCCTGGCTCTGTTCTAATAAAATTTCATTATGGATATTGAAATTTGAATTCCTTGTACTTTCCTTTGCACTTTTAAAAGAAAAAACATTCTCAGCTCATAGGCCATATAAAAACAGATGGCAGGCCATATTTGGCCCCCAAGACTATAGTTTGCACACTCTTGGATTAGAAGAGTATATTGGTAGAATCAGAAGCCTTGAGATTCTAAAGATGCCTAATAAATGTTACAGGTACCTGCATTCATCACATAAACAACATCATCCATTCAACAGAATTCAAGAACTTGAATTGCTAGAGCCTATTCCTAACAAGGAAGGAGACAAATGAAGAAGTAAAACTATATCAAACCACCCAAATCTTCCTTTTACTCCAAATAAAGGAAAATGCATTATTTATAGAGGTATCTGTGACTTTTGCTCTTCACTCAAGACTAATTTTCAAAGGATATGTTAACCTCTACTAGCATATACGTTACTTACTAAACCCTCAGGAAACCAGAAACACCTCCCTGCAGGAAGAGAGGGTTACTTTTATTGGGATCTTCCAGGAAACTTGTTCAAGAAAGAGATTCCAAGCTTCCAAACTCAGAGATTCTTACCTAAAAGGTCTGGATTAGGCCCAAATCAAGGTAACATTGCATTGAGAAAACAACTCTGGACTGTGGCTATAAAAGGAGGCTTAGAATCTAATCAGCTATGACTCAAGAAAATGGTTTTTCAAACAACTGATGGAAGTGAACAGTCCTTGGTAGTTTTAGTTCTAATAGAAATCTGAGTGGACTGAATTTTATGGGCTGAGTTTATCCCCTACAAAATGTTAAAGTCCTAACCCCAGGACCTTAGAATTTTAGGTTTATTTAGAAATAGGGTCACTGCTGATCCTGTTATGATGACATTGTCATGAGCAGGCTGGCCCCTAATCCAGTATAACTGTGTCTTTAAAAAAGAGTAAACACGGACCCAGACATATACATGAAGGAGGAAACGGTCAGGCGAAAAGACAGATTACTTAGCCAGCTACAAGTGAAGGAGAGAGCCTTGAAACAGATTCTTCCCTCAGCATTCAGAAGGAACCGATCCTGCTGCCACTTCGATTGTTAACTTCATAGATGTCTAGCCTCCAAAACTCTGAGACAATACACTTCTGTTACTTTATTATGGAAGCCGTGGCAAACAATTATACCAAAGGTCATAGGGAAATGAGCTGACTCAGAGGAGCTCAACACTAAGAGAGAGAGACCCTTAATTGAAATGAAGTTTCTCTACTGAAAACTGGAATTGCTAAGGCAAAATTCCAAGTACTTCTGTTACAATACAACTACAGAATGCTACTAGGTTCGTGAGTAGGATCACAGGGTCCTTTCAGTGAAATTTTCTAGAGAAAGGGCTGCTTGCTGATGGAGAATTCTAGCAGCCATGAGCTTGGAAGGCCACAGGCTTTTTCCAAACAAGTATTGTTACTTAGCCACTTTTAAAGGGCCTAAAGTCATCACAAGCTCCAAACTATCCATTGCACTCCAACCAAATTAATTTTTTAATGCTTTTTCTACAGGCACTGACAGCTTACTTTCTGCTACTATCCTCTTAAACCATTAAATCCTAACCCATTTCTGAATCTATTTAGCTTGCTAATCTTCTCCCTTACTCATTAATTACTTTTAGCTTTTCAAGCTGATTTTAAAGGAGAACAAAGGTAGTGCTTGGTGTAAGAAGTAGAGAGCTATTCTCAGTTCAAAACAAAGCAAAATAACACCACTATCCTTCTGATTAAAGTTGCATTATATAGACTGAATGCAACAAAACAATGTAGACGTTCCCTGGAGCGCCCTGTGAGGTTTGCCTTAGGTTGTAACAATCCACTGCTCAATGCTTAATGTAGTTTTTTTTTTTTTTTAATTCTGCTGAGTCACCACCAAAACTTCAGACAGTAAAACCTGCAGTGTACTAGAACAAAAAGTTCAACGCTTTTGGAGGGCACACAGCTTGTGACTGTCCCTGAGACATAAAAGATCGCACCAGCCGCTAAGTGGGAACATCACTCTTTTCAGAATGGATAATGCAGCTCTTGGGGAAATCAAACGTCTCTAAAATCCATAGCTCTTGAGCACAGAAAGCAAAACCTAATAGTGTTCGAGGGTAAATTTACAGAACGGCAAAACAGAAACCAATCTTGAACGAAAGCATAAATAGAATTATCCCCTGGTTCACCATGAAGCCCAGAAAAATATACCTGAGCCTAACTATACTTGGTTGGTATAAACAAGTAGTTCACAACCACATGCTCTCCTGATTCAGATGTTTGGTTCTGACTTAAAAATCTGCAGCAAACCCTCTGTATAGTATCTTTACAATAAAAAAAAAAAAAAAAATCTGCAGCAAGTCCCCAGGGCAGAGTCACCACCCTGCATATTTAGTAGATATGTTTGGCTCCAGCAAATAAATTCTGCCACAGGAATAAACTATATTCAAGGGTCTGTGTTTACTCTTTTATATAGTTTATATATATATGTGTGTGTATATATATATATATATATATATATATATGATACATAACGTTGACTCAGGATCTACCTTGTAAACTATGACTTTTAACTATGGAGTAAACTATGACTTTTGGACAGGGTCTGACTCAATTTAGGACACCATTTAAGGAAAAAATAAAATGTGTGTTAAAACAGTTTTGCGTCAGTGGAATCTGAATCATCCCTAGTGTTGAAATCACTGCTGAAGCTGAGTCACCACTGGGGGCTGATTGAATCGTGCCTTTGGATTCTGATGTTGTAGCCTAAAAGTTTAAAGTTTGGTGTGGAAAAATAGGTTGAAGCCAATCACTCAAGTGAAAGAGAACTTTAAGTTTCAAATGTTACGGAAGAAAAATAAAAATAGTTTACTGCCAGTAGCACAGGCTAATTACTTTTACTCTGACTTTTTTGTTTTTCTTTAGTCAGAGGTTGTTCTGATGAGTGCTGACTAATTTTCTATAGGCAAGATCACGTAAATATTGACAGTGATTTAGCACTCAAGCCTGAACTTGTTTGAAAGGAAAACGAATTGATCAGTAATATTGACAGTATCATGTTAGGATAACAGAATCTTAACAGTAAGTTTACTAAGCACTGCAGGATGCAACAATAAAAAACTCATAAGAAGGAACTACTTGGCATTACTAGCTAATTAAAAAGAGGAAATGGTATATTTTTATTTCTTACCGCTCCAGCTTTTTTTCTGGTGGTACCCAGGCAACAGAATCCAACATCATGACCTTGAAAGGCAGAAGCATAGTCATCCAGCTTTTCAAAGTCCACCAATTCTTGGTTCTAGACAAGAGCACAATTATATATAATCTCACATTATTTAAAAATACGAGCAATTTAAAGAAGGATGAACCATTACTAAGGGGCATAACCACTTATCAAGTTTTGCAAATTCACTTTTTCCCACTAAAAAGCAATTCATCTGAGCTAAAAATCAACAATTCACATGAGTGTTCATGGTATATACAACTGGACTAGGAGTGATCCAGATTTCTAAAATCAGGTTCCATTTTAATCATGCATAGAAAAATTTGTCTGTAGCTTACCAGGAAGATCATTGAGGATATGAAGACAGTGAATAGTGTTTAGGATCCCAAAGAAGACCTGATTCAAACTTGTTCCTACTATCTATTAAATAAATAATTTTGGCCAAGTAATTGATCATAAGCTTCCCTTTTTTGTAACAAAAAAAATGTAAATGATAAACTTTGTGTTGGTATAAGTCATAAACCACCTATATAAGATTCAGACAGGATCTAAAAGCATATTTTGGGGTCTGAATCAATATCTGTACTTTAAACAAGCATCCATAAGAATTCTAGAATACTTTGGGAGTTTTTGTTTTTTGTTTTTTGTCTGTCGTGGGGCTTGAAACTCTGGCCTGGGCCCTCTCCCTCAACTCTTCAGCTCAAGGCTAGCGCTCTACCACTTGAGCCATAGCTGGTGGTTTTGCTGGTGGTTAATTGGAGCTAAGAATTTTACGGACTTTCCTGACTGGGCTGGCTTTGAACCTCAATCCTCAGACTTTAGCTTCCTGAGTAGCTAGGATTATAGGTGTGAACCACCAAGGCCAAGCTTGATTGATTTGTGTGTGTGTGTGTGTGTGTGTGTGGCAATACTAGGGCTTGAGTTTAGGGCCTAGGTGCTGTCTCTTAGCTCTGAAGGTTAGTACTCTACTACTTGAACCACTTAGTAACCACTCAGTGGTAGTGCTCTACCACTTGCACCACAGCCCCATTTTCCAGCTTTTTTGTGTGGTTAACTGGAGATAAGAGTGATGTGAAAATAGGTTGAAGTTAATCACTCAAGTGAAAGAGAACTTTAAAACATTTATTATGGAAAGAAAAAAAGTAGCCTACTATCAATAACTTGGACTTTCCTGTCCAGGATGGCTTTGAACTTGGGTTTTCAAATCAGCTTCCTGAGTAGCTAGGATAACAGGTGTAAGCTACTTGTGCCCAGATGAAATTTAAAAACCTACACCTAACCTTGTACTAACTGCTGTGAAACTAGAAAGTGTAAGACATTCCATCACTCATGAGTTCAGATAAAATGGTTTCCTTTACTACCATCAACATTTTCAAAAGAATTTTTTGACACTGTATCCAATGTTGATGGAAAGCAGGTTTTTCACCAAGAGCCTGGTCAAAACCTGCACAACCAAAACTCCACTCTCAAAAAAATACAGACTTCAGCCTGGTGCTGGTGATTCATGCCTGTAAATACCATCAACTCAGAAGGCTGAGATCTCAGGATCTCAGTTTGAAGCCAGCCTAGGCAGCAAAGTCTGTGAAACTCTTATCTTCAATTAACCACCTAACAACTGGAAGTGGAGCTGTGGCTTAAGTGACAGAGCTAGCCTTGAGAAAAAAAAAAAAAAAATCTCAGGGACAGTGCCTACTTCCTGAGTTCAAACCCCTGGACCGATAGAGTACAGACTTCGGAACAGCTTCTAATTTTCATCAATGTCTCATAGCCCATGAAACAAGACAACAAAGACCACTCAACACCTGCTTAAGAGTGGGCAAAGATGTCTGCTTTAAACAAACAAGTCCTGATAGACTAAAAACATCCTCAACATGATCTGAGCAGGGACTGCTGGGAATAAGAACATGTATTTGCAAGCCTGCTTGTAATTTGAAATGTGCCTTTTGTAAAACCCCAGGGGGCCATATTTTTGCAGACTGGTCTCAGGAGTACACTGTATTGTTCCATTTGTTTCAGTTCACAGGTAACTCAGTTTAAATCTCTCCAAAGCTCAGACTTGAGATATGTAGGGGTTATCACCAGCTGGAAGTCTGGTGCATGGTATTTGCATAACTGTGGAAGTGTAACTTATTTGAAGGTAGTAGTATTCTCTTTTCAGCTACAAGCCTGGGAAATCAGGGAGACAGATTCTTATACTTTCACTGCCATAGACCACTGGAAGTATTTTCAGGTTCTCTCACATTTCTGTGAGGTCACAAGTATGTGAAGCTACCATGTGGTTGCGAAAACTGTCAAGAGAACAGGACTTCTGAAGGTTGAGGAAGCCGGATGATCTGAACCCAGACCTGCTATTCTATCAGGCTGGCCCTTAGGACAACCCAAGTCCTGCTCTATCTGGTTCCAGGAGCACAAAAGGGCTGGGCTCAAGGCCACATGGCAAGAGGAGAGTGTGCAGCAACTGGGCTTTGGACTGGGACTCTCAAACACCAATTAGGACCAGATTTTGGCCGGAGCCTTTTTTAGCCTCCATGGCTGGCCCAGTCACGCTCAGCCACCAGTCATGGAAACAGGCTGTCACCTCCAGAATGACCACAGCTCCAATACCCACCACGTTTGTATAAGCTTCCTCCTCGAAGGTGAGAGTCCTCCGGCCAATGAGCGTGACTTTGGAGAACAGGCGCTGTTCCAGAATTTCCTTTAAGAGTACTTTGCCGGTTTCCCCGCTGGCACCCAGAATAAAGACGGATTTATTTTGCATCCTGAAGTCTTCCCGAAGCTTCGGCAGAGCTTCGATCTCAGCCATGCTGGAGAGGGGGGGAAGAGAGGGGACATAATACAACACGGGCTGGTCTTAGGGCGTTAGAAGGGTGGCCTCCCACGTCCTTACCCTGGGAGATGACGTTATTCTCCGCAGCTCCCGGTAACGCTGAGTCACCTGCGGGGTGGGGCGTGGTCACTGTCCCCCACCCCCGCCCTCTTGCGCGATCCTGCAGGTGTGTGTGGGGGGGGGGGTCCCCAGAGCCGGGAGGGTGCGCTCAGGACCCCGAAGTACTGGCCGGGCCTGGGCTCAGCGAGATCCCCTCCCCAGCGGAGGTTACCTAAGGTCAGCCCCCGGCCCCTCGTCGTCAAGCCGCAGTAGGAGGATCGCAGCCAGCAGCGCGGCCACCCCCCAGCACAGCGCCACAGGCCCGGGCATGCGGAGTGCGCCCCTGCGCAGCGGACACCCGCCCCGGAGACCGTGGAGGAGGAGACCCGGGACGGCCCGGCCCAGGTGCCTACCCCTAGCGGTCTTCCGGGTGGCTGCGCCTGGGCGGCCTTGCCCCGCCCCTGGGCGGGGTCTGGACCAGGGCGCAGGGGACCCGCGTGGCTCTCGCGTGGAGAGGATCCAGGGCACGCGCGCCAGCGCAAAGCCAGGCCTGAGCGCTCTCCTAACTGTCCCCAAGAACCTCCCTCCCCACTTTCTCTCCCCTGGTACAGGCCCTAGGCAGAGGAGAGCCCAGACTGGACCTTGACTGTCTGCCTCTCCCCATCTCCCCCTCCTCCCCCCCCCCCCCAGGTAATTTGTGTATTGAAAGCCTTCATCTCAAATTCACCACTTTAAAAATGTAACCTTTTTCATCCTACCATCCCAAACAGGAGTTCAACAACAACAACAGAAACCTATTCCTGGCTTCCCTTGGGTGCACTCTCCCTCACCCCTAACATTTACACTTGTTTTCCCCCTTTCCATCAAAATCGCCAAAGCAGTCCATCTCCTCTGACTCATTCATCTTTCCACATTCCAGATTCATTAGCAAGTCCTGCCAATGCCTTCCAAATATTTCTTCCCTGAAGTTCCGGGACTGTAGTTGATCTCTCCCTGCCTGGGTTCCGGTCCACCACTAGACCGGTAGAGCAGGGGTGGCCTTCCACACCTGCACCTGGAGTTCACACACTACTACACGGGGCATTTCCTGGACTTTGGGAGTTAGAATGACAAGCAAAAATCTGGATGATGCGCAGTTTGTGCTGTAGACATCTATCATGCTGGAGCCCCCTCTGCCAGTCTAGAAGACAAATGAAACATTCCTTCCCTCTACCAGCTCCTTGGGAGTTATTATGTATTTACATATACTGGCCTGACCTGGATTCAGCTCATCAGATACTTTGTGGGAGATTCATACCAAACATGGAGTTTTTATTCCAGCTTGAGCTGGGGTTCCAGGAGGTGGGGAAGGGCATAGAATAATAACATTGTTAGAACTGATATGACTATTAGAAAAACAGTCCTCTACTGTGTACAGAGGGCAAGTTGAGCTGATAAACCAGAACCTGCCTGACAAGAAAATAGGAGCAGTGGTTATGAAAGAATGAGGTAGTAAGAAGGACAAAAGGAAATAAGGGTAGAACAGTAAATCTTTAGTGTCACAGTCTAACAGGATTCAGAAAGGGGATCAACCAATTCTTACTATTAAATCCAAGGCCAAGCTTTGTAATCAAAGCAGAATGGCAGAAAGTAGAGCAAGATGGCCGAGCTAAGCTGAACTTCCATCTTCCTTGTGGCATGCATATGTCATATGCTGTCTTTGTCATATTTCTCTTCTAATAAACTTTCCTGTCACCTTTACTTATATTCACACCTTACCTAAATTCTTCTCTTTCCAGATGCAAGGACCAAGGTTGTGGTAGCTGGCCTAAACTTTCTGGTAACATATTTGGTGCATTGGCCAGGAAGTTAGGGGTGAAATATGTATATTTTTGAGCTGGACTCTTTGAATGGTTCCAGAACTACCAGCAATCTGCTGATGTGATGATCTTGCCTGTGTTTCGCCTCCTTTCATTGCAGCCTGTTTTTAGAGCCCAGGTATTTCCTGTTATTCTTCCAGCATTTTCTTTTTGTTTAAGGCACCAAGTTCTAGTCTGCTCCTTGTGATTAAAAAGCCTTACCAATCTAGAGCACAAAAGATGATATTCCAAATCATTAGTGTGTAGATTCTTCCACCTGAATTCCCAAAGACTCTTCTATTAAAATTCTATGTCAAACCTGTCAGCTAACAGTGTCTCAGGATTTCATCTAGCAGATCTGTTGCAGTGATTAACTGCACTCTTCTTGCTTCTCTTCTTACTTTTTCAAAAAGAATTTTGTGGCATACATCCTAACAGATCAATCCCATGATCCTAGAAAATTGCATGCACACCTAGCTAGAAAAAGATGAAGAGCACTGTTAGTCCAGAAAGCAAAGTGCCTTTGACTTAGCAATTCAGCAAACTCTTCCCACCACAGCCAATTACTTTTTGGTCATTGTTGACATAGTTTTCCCTGTTGGAGAACTTTATTTAAATGGATTCATACAGCATGTATCTTTTGTGTCTCCATATTTTTTCCCTTAACCTATGTTTTTACTATTTATCCTTGTTGTTTATATAGCAGCATTGGACTTCTGTGGTCCCTAAACATTTGAGGCCCTATAAAAAAAAAACAAAAAACAAAAACAAAACAGAACAGAAAAAAGAGCTGGGGTGTGGCTCAAGTGGTTAGGGGCCCACCTAGTAAGTTTTGAGGCCCTAAGTTTAAACCCAGGCACTGCCCAAATAAAAAGATTAAATTTATTCCTTTATATTTCTGAGTTATCCTGCAGCATTCAAGTATAAATAGCCCATGACATTTTTAAACATTCTCTTTTTAGCTAGTATAACTAAGGCTCCTATGGCCAGTGTTCCTGAGGACATATGTTTTCATTACTTTTCCAGAATTTTCTAATGTAGAGGGACGATATCATACTCCTACTAAGTCCAAGTTGTTATCATTTGGTGGTAAATGTTGCCTCATCTTTTTTTTAGTAACAGAGCCCAAGATTTTGTCATTTTGTTTTGGGGTGACAGTACTTCAGTTTGAACACAGGGCATGCTGCTCACTAGGAGATGAGGTCTCCTGGTTTTGCCAGCTTCCTGCATAGCTGGAAAAACAAGTATGAACCACCACATCAAGCCTGGTGATTGAGATGAGGTTTTACTACCATTTTGCCTAAGCTGGCCTTGAACCTCAATCCTGCAGTGCCCTCTGTTTTATTAGAAAATACATATGCCCATTAAGATCATGTGACAGTGATGTAGCCAAGGAGATGCAAGCAAAAGTGATTGGTGCACATTTGAATCATGTTTTTCTAAGGAAGCTGTCTGTTTTCTGTCACTTTCCCTTTTTTGCGAATGTGGGGCCAATGAATCATTGACCAGGAAGAGAAAAACAGCCTAGAGGATTGCAGAGCAAGAAGCAAGGCCTCTGGAGCTCACAGACCAGAGCTCCCTTCCTACCCTGAACTTCCTGCCTACTCCCTGAACAGTAAGAACATGGTCATGTTAGTGACCCTGTAATTTTGCAGCAGCTTAGCTAGCACCTTGCCTAACAAAAGATCTTTTCAATCAGTCTTGCACTGATGGATTAGCTAAATGCAGGGTAGATAACTACAGTGGACCAAATAGGATGAATTGGATGCCAGCTATGTTCACATGGAGCTGGGATAGTAAGTCATTAATACTTGTGAAATTCAATGAAGGTATGAATTAGACAGCCTTATAAAACATACCTACACAGTGGCTCATACATCCTGGAAAGGAAATGGAAACTCAGAGGATGGATTCCCTTCTCTTGTGGATGGCATCTCCATATAAAGAAGCTGACAAGCCGGGCGCTGGTGGCTCACGCCTGTAATCCTAGCTACTCAGGAGGCTGAGATCTGAGGATCACAGTTCAAAGCCACCCTGGGCAGGAAAGACCGTGAGACTCCTATCTCCAATAAACCACCAGAAAACCGGAAGTGGCGCTGTAGCTCAAGTGGTAGAGCGCTCGCCTTGAGCTGAAGAGCTGAGGGACAGCGCCCAGGCCCAGAGTTCAAGCCCCATGACCGACAAAAAAATAAAAAGAAGCTGACAAGCCATAATGTGTCCTGGGCTACTAAGACAACAGGGCCATAAAAAATTGGAGAAAAGGGAAGGGAACATAAAGAAAGTGAGGTAGTATCCAAGATCCCTGGCCAAAAGATCATTGGCTTGCCAAGTCCATGTATAATATGACCACTGATCTGGAGGAAGACTTTTTGTGTGTTTTTGGCATTTGTTTTCCTATCTGTAAAAATGGGACCATTCATTTTACTCCAAGAAACAATGGTTGCAGTGAACTTGAGTAAAGACAGTACTGGTACTGGAAGCTCAAATCTATAATCCTAGCCACTCAGGAGGCTGAAATCTGAATATTGCGGTTTGAAGCCAGTCTGGGCAGGAAAGTTTATGAAGTTCATGAGACTCCTATCTCCAACAAACTACCAGAAGGCCAGAAATTGGACTGTGGTTCTCAGGGACAGTGCCTAGGCCCTGACTTCATGATTCGATCTCTGAGAAATCTAAAAACAGAATTTGATGTAGGGTGGGGCTTTGGGAGAATGAACTTAGATAAAATGCAGAATCCTTGGGATCAGCCCCTAGCTTTTTGTAATATTATTTTTTATTGTAAAGATATGTATAGAGGGGTTACGGTTACATGAGTGAGGTAATGAGTACATTTCCTATTGAGCATTGTTACCCCCTCCTTTGTTTTCTGCTACCATCCCTTCCCACTCCACCCCAACTCCTCCTTCCCCTCTACCCCCGAAGTTGTAGAGTTCATTTTCAACATAGTGTCTTTTTTTGGGGGGGGGGGCGGTCCGGTCGTGGGGCCTGAACTCTGGGCCTGGGTGCTGTCCCTCAGCTCTTCAGCTCAAGGCTAGCGCTCTACCACTTGAGCCACAGCGCCACTTCCTGGGGCCTGAACTCTGGGCCTGGGCGCTGTCCCTCAGCTCTTCAGCTCAAGGCTAGCGCTCTACCACTTGAGCCACAGCGCCACTTCCGGCTTTTTTCTTTTTGCTTATGTGGTGCTGAGGAATCGAACCCAGGGCCTCAGGCATGCAAGGCAAGTGCTCTACCACCAAGCCACGTTCCCAACCCTCAACATAGTGTCTTGTACATCTCATTGCTACAATGGATCAACCTGCATCCTTATTTTGATGGGACCCAATCATAATGTTAGAACCCAGTGAGCCTATGTGACTCCACGCTAGTTAAACATCCATCTTGTTTACAAGTTTAGGAAAAATGTGGATTGCAAGTCTCTGATAATAGAGCCTAGAGACCAGGTGGACGTGTCAGTAAGAAGCACATATGTAACACCCCCCACACCAAGGAAGGCAAACCCCACCTTCCCCCCTAAACTCGCATGCCAAAACTGACCAAAGTGGTA